TTCAAGAAGGACACTGACAAACTGGAACGTGTCCAGAGGAGGGCAACCAAAATGGTCAAAGGCCTGGAAACGATGCCTTATGAGGAACGGCTAAGGGAGGTGGGCATGTTTAGCCTGGAGAAGAGGAGGTTAAGGGGTGATATGATAGCCATGTTCAAATATATAAAAGGATGTCACATAGAGGAGGGAGAAAGGTTGTTTTCTGCTGCTCCAGAGAAGCGGACACGGAGCAATGGATCCAAACTACAAGAAAGAAGATTACACCTAAACATTAGGAAGAACTTCCTGACAGTAAGAGCTGTTTGACAGTGGAATTTGCTGCCAAGGAGTGTGGTGGAGTCTCCTTCTTTGGAGGTCTTTAAGCAGAGGCTTGACAACCATATGTCAGGAGTGCTCTGATGGTGTTTCCTGCTTGGCAGGGGGTTGGACTCGATGGCCCTTGTGGTCTCTTCCAACTCTATGATTCTATGATCTCCCGCAGCTTCCCTAAAGGTCTTTGCAGACTACCTGGCAAATGTGACCTGTGCTATGATTGGCTGGAAAAGTGTCGGCTGCACTCAATCCAAAGTGGGTAGAAAAGCCTTAAAAATGGACTAAGGACATGTTATTGGCATCTGTCTGTCTCGAGAGACAGTGGCGTGCACTTCCAGGGGTGAAGTCAAACCTCTGCATTAGCAGCACTGAAGTGACCTCCCTAGGGTGCAAGCCTGGGCAGGGTGTCTGGAGGTCCTGGGCTGCCCACAAGAACCACCGTCCCCCTGGCCTCGCTGATGTGGTCCAGAAGGAAAGCAGAGCAATATGTCTGGCACAAGCTTGTCTGCAGGAGTTGCCAGGAGGAGGCAGACAAGGTGCCATCTTAGAGACTCTGCTCCAGATTTGTGTAGGGTTTACTCCGCAGCCTTTTCCCCCAAATATATCCTGCAAGGCAGCAGAGGGTTATCAGAGTTTTCCTTCTCCCAAATGGGCTCCCTTCCTAGGTTGACGAGACCCATTTGCCCCTCACTTCCATCTACAGCACGTGCAGGAACCGCCTTCTTGACTGTTGGACCCATTCTTGGTCTCGCCCACTCCATCTGCCAGAGCCTATGTTCGCATGCAGGAGAAGCCCCTAAGTCACTGGGGTTTGAGCCTCATCGGCTACCCTCACCTGGTTTAGCCGGCCAGTCGAAACCATTCCTCTGTCACATGCTGACAGCTTCTAGGAGCCACAGGTGAGGGCTGGGTTGGGACCAAAGGTGGACAAACTACCCCAGAAGCAGCAAGTGTTCCCCACTAGAGGTACTACCCTCCCCTAATACCCCAAACGACCATGCAGACCCTTTAAAATGGTCAGTAATCCCTGGCAGCTCACGAGACTAGAAAGCTGTTTGTAAGTAGAAAAATTAAAGTTTGATAGATTTGAACCAACATGCTCCCTTTTATTTTCCATATCCTGCTTTGTCCATTTGCCCTCCTCTCTTAATAAAACTTCACATACTTGGTGCTGTTAGGGTCTAAATGGTAGGATTCTTGCCAAGTACTTGAATGAAAAAGTGGAGTTTCCCAGGGGAAAGAGCAGTGCTGAACCTCAGGGTGGGGAAGGCAGCTGGATGCCAGCTCTGTTCCTGATAAATTGAGAGGTCTTTGGTGAAGTGCAAAGCATACAGTCTTGGGAGTCTCTTTGGAAGCAATTGCTTTATCTCCCAGAATTCACCCTACTTGGGGTTGTAGAGGTCAAAAATGGGGTGGTGGTGGCAGAAGTATTGGATGGTTTGGGTCACAACTGGTCTACCCTGCAAGACAGTTGTGCAAGGAAGGTGCTTCTAGTCTCCCTCTTCTGTTAAGATTCATAGTCTCTCTTTCTCCCACTGTTTAAGACAGGTGTGATGGACAGCATAGCCAGACCAGTCAGGTGATGCAGTCCCCCCTGAAATTCCACCAGAGGGCTGGAGCCTCTCTCTGATTGGCTAGAGTCTGCTAGACACAGAGGTGGGAGGAGCAGCACATTGGGAGAGAGTATAAAAGGAGCCATTTCTGAGGGAGAAGGTTAGACAGGGCCATGGTTCAGGTTGAATCCACTACAACAGGATTTTGCCATATTTTTTGCATGACCTATTCGAGTCTGTAGTCCTTTCTGGCAACAGCCATACAAGAATGCATTTATGTATAACCAAAGTCCAAGCAGTTTCAGGAGGGAGATTTGGAGTGCTTTGTACACTTAACCCTTCATCAGCTGCTTCTCTACTCAATTTGCCCCCTCAGCTGCTGCCTGCTCTCATTGGGCTCCAACACTGTGATTTATTTGTTGTTGGTTATAAGCATTTTGGGCTCTGTTCCATATAGCCTTACACAGCCCAGGGCCCAAATATATGGACTCCTCCCCTGCCCCCTTACTTGCCACCCCATGCATTAAGGTTTGTGAGAGCAGAGCAGCTCGTAGTTCCCTCCAACTCCAGTTTGTGGGGCAGTGGCACATCCTTTGTTATGGCACCCCAGATGTAGAATTCCCTTGCCACAGAAATTTGGTGGTTCCCAGTGTTCTTTACTTTTAGGCGTTGACTCAAGACACATTTGTTTTATCCGGCTGGTTGAGAGCTGGATTGCTGCTGGATTGTCTGAAAGTTTGGTTCTCTGCTCTGTGTTTTGTGTAGTGTATTAGGTACTACCCTGGGAACTTCAGGGTTGAAAGGTGAAATAGAAATTCAAATAATATTATTGTTTCCCATATTAAATCTGGAATGCTATAGCCTGGCAACAGACATACTACAGGGAGTTATTGCCTATTTATTTTAATTCAAAAATAAACCCTGTCAAGCAGGAGCAAGATTCTATGCCTCAGCCACTAATGCAGTATCCCTTTCTCAAACCCTGTTCCTTTGATCCCCACACATTCTAGTTTCGGTTTTGTGTGGTGTTGCCAGTATCCCAACCATAGTGACTCCTGCTTAATACACCCACTATTTTTATTTCTTCTAGCTGTTGTGTAATTGAACAGTGGACAAAATGGATACCCATTTCCTTTTTTGTTAAAAATTATCTGTTTCCTGTTCTCAGCTGCAGACAGATGTTTTCCCCCTACAGATAACTTCTGATAGCTGTTGTAATGTGTTTTTGAGAATGTTCTTCATACCTGGCAGGGAGGTTGGAGAACAGAAACAATCTTTATTTTTAGGATATACAGTTAATCCCAGGAGAGGGAGCATCATAACACAGACAGCCATCATGTCGGAACACAAACAGATGCAGCTTCCCAGACACCATTAACTCCTGAACAGCCAAGGAGGTTCTGCATACACTTTACTAGAACGCCAAGCCATCAGTTTATTGTAACATGTGAAAAAACATAGGCAAACGAAATACGAATCCCATGTATATTTCTTTTTTAAAAAGGGTCTAAGTTATATAAGATGGGCATTATAGCATTTAGTTTAACATATAGATCGCATTATTATCTTATACACACAAAGGATGAAATCCTGAACACTAGGGAGCAAGTCCCATTTAACTCGATACAACTTCTGCATAAATATTTGTTAAAGTGTTGTTTATTTTGTGGAATTGACACACCCCATACATTTGCAACACACCCACCCACCCTATTCTTTTGACAGCAGAGAAGGTTTAGTCTCTCCATGGTTGGTGGAATCTTATCCTGGTGTTAACTTGTTTCTGTGCCAATACGCTTTTAAATGCTTAGGAATTTCTGCAATCCATTTCCATCTCTATAAGCATATGACAAAGTGTATGTACAGTGGTACCTCGGGTTAAGTACTTAATTCATTCTGGAGGTCTGTTCTTAACCTGAAACTGTTCTTAAGCTGAAGCACCTCTTTAGCTAATGGGGCCTCCTGCTGCCGCCGTGCAATTTCTGTTCTCATCCTGAAGCAAAATTCTTAACCCGAGGTAATATTTCTGGGTTAGCGGAGTCTGTAACCTGAAGCGTCTGTAACCTGAAGCGTATGTAACCCGAGGTACCACTGTATTACTTTTACATACAATCCTATCCATGTTTACTCACAAGTAAGACCTGCTGATTTCAACAGGCCTTGCTTACAAGCAAGTGACAGGATTGAGGCCTCAATCAGTGCAATAGATAGAGGTAATGCAGAGGCTGATGTACTGAAATATAGTTGCTTTTCTGCAATGACAATGAAGGCCATTGCAAAGTTTTGTCCAGGAACAGAAATTCAAATGTTCCTTTTGCAGTATGGTCATCAACAGTGATGTAAATAGTCAGAAATAAATCTTGTCACCCTGCCCCTCTTCTTAGAATCTCACCTATTCATTATTCCCCACTATCCAAAGGTAGTCAAAATTACTATATTTTTATAGTACAGTGGTACTTCTGGTTAAGTACTTAATTTGTTCCGGAGGTCTGTTCTTAACCTGAAACTGTTCTTAACCTGAGGTACCACTTTAGCTAATGGGGCCTCCCGCTGCCGCCGCGCGATTTCTGTTCTCGTCCTGAAGCAAAGTTCTTAACCCGAGGCACTATTTCTGGGTTAGCGGAGTCTGTCACCTGAAGCGTATGTAACCCGAGGTACCACTGTATGGTGTATGCTGCTACTATACAGCACACAAAAATATTCAGAAACTTTTTGAACGTTTGTTAACGCTGCTCGTGTATAGTTGATGAAAGGCTGAGGAAGAAGAGGACCAAAGCAACCAGAGTCTGTAGCAAGCAAGAGCTGTTTTCCTAATTGCTCTGACCAACAAGTCTGACTCAGATTTTTTAAAACAGAAGTCAAGGGTATCACTTGCAGCCTCAAGTCCTTGTGCTTCTGGAGATACTCTTGCAATCTCCTCTGTTCCTACTGACTACAGTTAAATGTAATGGGCTGGGCCACTACTTTGTCCACTGGTTACCACTGGAAGGAAACAGAACTGTCATGGTTTGGTGGCTGCTAGAGTATCGCTCAAATGTAGTTCAGGCTTTTCGGACAAATTAGTTTGTACTGCAATCTTTTCTAAACTATGGTATGTCTGAAAAGCACATGTGGATACACACACACCAGAAACACTTGTTGAATTAGAGTAATTTATTGTGTGTTTTTTTCTGAACTTGACAGATTCCCAGAGATTGATAACACAACACAATCTTATGCACCAATTCACAACTAGTCCCTTGTTGGTTTTATTAAGAACATAGTAATTTAAAAAATAGCTAAATATGTACATATTAATAAAACTTATATACATAAGATTGAGATACTTTTTTTTTACCTAAATATGGAATGATTTCCTAATAAAACCTATAAAAAGACTTCTGAAAAAAATCTGAACAGTAGTCACAGTAAGTAGACAAGAATACTATTATTTTTAAGATTTATTAAAAGAATGCTGATTGTTGGTTAACTGTTACTATATGTATGACTTCTTTGTAGATTTACTGGGGAGACTGAGTAGTTCTGTTCAAGAGGGAACAGTCTCTAATTCCTTTCCATCTCTAAGGAGAAAATGTACTTTTTAAAGACTGCAGTGCAAGTCAGGTTTATCTTGTCATCAAGAGAACACAGCCACATTTCAATAATTATATGTGTAATAATGATTACACATTATGTGTAAAATTCCATAAAAGTGTTAAACTGCAGTAGAAGTAGTTATTCAGCCTGAGTTGAACAAACACAAAAGATTCTGTATAAATATCTACAGCAGTGTCTTCTGGTGTGCTTAAGATGACTCTGAAATTTTCATTATATAACATTCATTAATCCTTCATTGGAAGTATGACCTAGTACCTTTTCACAAACAGACTAGGACAGAAGCCTGATTCTTCAAAAGGTAACAAGAATACATAAACCATAACTTCAGATATTATTTGTGGGCTTTTGGGGTTAATAACCTTAAAGACCAGTGTATAAATTTATGAACACCCATGTCAAAGTTTCCTTTCAAAAGCAGAAATATAAAATAAGCCATAAATATTTGACGGGGGCAGAACACTTGCATTAGTTTTAACTCTGAGGAATGAGATAAGGAGATCAGTACACAATGGTGATAAATATATAAGTTTTGGAATGAATTTAATATAAATATTAGTTAACTGGCAAGTGATAAGGTGGGATTACATATATATTAATATAATTTAGAGTTCAGATTTTGTACACTGGCCTCTCTTTCCCAGCACCACCCATGATTCAGGGGATAACAAATATTAATATATCTGATTAAAATGGAGTGTGTGGAGCTTGACCCAGAGGATGTTTGGTCATCTATCTGAAATTTCAAATAACAAATCTGTCGTGGAAATTAAGGGGGGCGGTAATTTGCAGATTCTGGGCCAATTTCCTTCATCCTTGGCCTACAATATTCACAGGGAGAAAACACACAGGGATTCACACACCTGCCAGATGAGGAGGAAGTGAATGGGTATGCTCTTTACATATAAGTAATTGTGTGAGCATTTTCATTTCACAAATAGGCCTGAAGATGTGACCCAATATGAACACTCTCACTGAAGGGATGAAGATTTATGGAAATCAAGACTATGGGTAACTCTGGAACACCTAGTTTCCATAGTGTAAGCGCAAGAAGATTATATACACCCAATCCACTCACGACAGAATTATCCTTAGTTGAGGAAATGTGTGAACTCCTCGTGGTCAGGAGGAAAGTGTGATACTATGCTCCTTTGAGTTGAACAAAGGAAACCAAGATACATGTTCCTATATGCACTTCCTTATCACTCATTTCCCCCACTGCTGGACAGATCCTTGAAGAGGCAGGAGGAAAGGCATGAGTATTTGTGAAAATCAACACACCCCAAATGTAATGGTATTTCCCCTACATCTCATGCAAATATGACAGAAAAGCCATGTATAAGAGTGTTGGGGAGGCTATTGGCAGCGATAATTATTGAAATAACTTTTTGGGAACTACAAGATGGTGCTGGCACTCAAAAGCCAGGGAGAGAGAGAGAGAGATGAGGGGGGTTGTTATACCAAATGGTCTGAAAAATAAAATGTCTGAGTAATCTCAATATTAAGAACAGTTCATTCCACGTTCACCAATACTTGTTCTGGACAAAACACCAGCATCAATATTAGCATCAATTATTGGGACTCTTATTGTCAAATACCATATTGCAACTTATTCAGAGAAGAATACTTGGCAATTTACCATCTTTACCCAAGAAGGAAAATCAAAGGCTAAGGAGAGAGAGAGAGAGAGAGGGAGAAAGGGTCTTCAGAACAGATGACTAATGATTCATTAACTTTGAAGTTTTTTGGTCCTTTGATTTCTGCACAAGAATCCAATATGAAATGGGGTCCTTCAGAACACCTTTCTAAGGGAGGCCCTTAACTTTGTTAATGTTTCGATGTTTAATCAAAGATGGAACAAACAGCCAGCCAGCATGCATATACTTAAGTGGGGAAATGCAATCATAAAGACAAAATTTGTTCTATTTCAGTGGTTATCAGATTAATTGCACTATATCCTTGCTGAACAAGTCTATTCTGATTAAAATAAGAAACAAGTAATTTTGTGGCTTTGTTACCCTATGTTACAAAAGCATGAACAAACTTAAGATTGAGGCCATGATAGAGAACGCAGATATTGAAGTAGTCTGAAAACAGCGCTGGTGTCCTGCTCAAAAGTAAAGACGTCTGGATCTGCTAGTGAAACACTGGTGCAGAATGTGTGGTTTCAAAGAGGTTACCTGAAAAAGAAAAGCTGGGCTTAGGATCTGAAAGGTTGGCTGTATAAAACTGACACACAAGTATTAAAAGTAACCTATGGATTTCAACATTAAAGTAATAAAAGGTGTTGTCTGCAATAGAATTAGAACACTAACAGGCTGTCCATAATTTATTTCTTGGTATGTATCTTTATTACAACCCCTGGGAATCACTTATGGAAAGGTATTAATTACTGTGAGAGAAATCTAGTACATAGAATTGGAGAATAAGGGAGAGAACACATGCAAAGGTGTGTATTAAGAGCAACAAGGAATTCATCTAAAAATATTACACACATGGATGGAGAACAAAGCACTTGCATAACAATGCAAAGGAGGGTCTATCAAATATCTGAAATTAATCTGCAAAGTGGAAAGAACAGCACTGCTCTATTGAGGGGGTTTTTCAAAACAATACAGGAAGCACTTAAACAGAACTCTCCCCCCCCACCCTCCCTACAAATATATATAATTACAATGATCTCCCCTCCCCTGATTGCTCACTTTTATTTGGGGTCACTTAATAATAATTTTATTATTTATATCCCTCCCATCTGGCTGGGTTTCCCTAGCCACTCTGGGCGGCTTACAGAATATAGCACAAATGATAACCCCCCCCACACACACACATCCTGGAGAGTCATGTCCAGATAACAATATTGGGAGATTGCATGGCACAATATTGTCCCCAATGCTCTTCAACTCTGAAATGAAGCCACTGAGTGTGGCCATTTGGCGTATGAGGGCAGTGTGTCGTCTGTGCGCTGGGAGTGGTAGCCAATGTTGCTGAAGCCAGAACTGGGATTCAAGATGACTAAGAGATTGGGGAACGGGGTCAAATGAACAAAACAAATTTCAGTAGGGACAAATAGGTTGAGAGAACTGGGTCAGTTTAGTTTGGAAAAGAGGAGACTGAGAGGAGATATGATAGCCATCTTCAAATGTCTCGAGGGCTGTCACATGGAAGAGGGAACAAGCTTGTTTTCTCCTGCTCTGGAGGGTAGGACTCAAACCAATGGCTTCAGGTTACAAGGCAGGAGATTCCAACTCAACGTTCAGAAAAACTATCTGACAGTAAGAGCTGTTTGGCAGTGGAACAAATCCCACAAGAGGTGGTGGACTCTCCTTCTTAGGGGTTTTAAAGCAGAAGTTGGATGGTCATCTGTGTCATGGATGCTTTAGCTGAGATTCCTGCATTGCAGAAGGTTGGACTAGATGACCCTTGGGGACCCTTCCAACTCTACCATTCTATGATTGCCATAACATCTGAGTCAGAAGAGGCTATGTATAATCCTAACCACTGTCCTAGTGATGGACTGGAGGAGGGCTAATAACCCAATGTTGAACCCTGGGAAGATGGAGGAATGGCAGGTAAGTGGATTGGTCAGTTGCATGTTCTGGATGGGGCTGCACTCCTTCTGAAAGCGCGCTTTCAGAGTTTGCGAGTGCTTCTGGATCCATCTTTTTCACTGAAGGCTCAGGTAGAGGGCCCATAACCAGCTACAGACATAATCTTTGACAGGCAAAGCCTGGCCATGGTAATTCCATTATGAACTTCCAGACTCAGTTATTGCAGTGTGCTCCATGTAGGGCTTCCCTGGTCTAGACGCTCCAGCTGGTGTAAATGCTATGGCTACACTGTTGGTAGGAACAGACAACCACCAGCACAAAGTTTCAGTGCTTAAAAGCTTGCACTGGCTACTCAGAGGCTAACAAGCCAAGTTCAAGGTTCTTGTGTTAACTCACAAGATCCTTAACAACTTGGGTTTAGGATACCTAAAGAACCACTGAGGTCTCTAGGGGAGTTGCTGTTAGTAGTCCCCCATGGCTCTGATGCACAGCCCGTATACACCAGAACCCATGCATGTGGTGCTGGGGCCCCCGTTCTGTGGAACACCTTCTTGGAGGTGATCAAACAGGCCCCCTCCCCACTGAACTTCAGGTGTGTGGTTTAGATTTAATTTTAGCAGGCATTTTAAGTAAGCTTCTATGTTTTTATGGCTAATATTAACTGATTTTTCTCCTTATGCACATTTTGCAGAAAGGAGACCAAAGAAATAAGATTTCTACTAATGTGACTGCCTCTTTGTGTCTCACTTACGAACTTTTGATAGTAGAAAAATTAGCAGCACTAAGAAATTGCATGAGATGAAATGGGCACCAGTAAAATACTAAATAAAATTACTAGAGCAATTAAAAGCTGACATATAAAGACTTCGTTAAGGAAATTGATTATCATGTCTTCTTACATAAATTGCCTTGATTGCTTGATTGGGTGTGGGGAGCAAGAGTGAAGAGATCTTTATAATCTCTGTGATCTGAGGACAGATTTATATATTCAGTAGTTACTGAATACGAAAGCTTTCCCTAGACTTCTGGCTGTTATAAGGTTACATTTTAAATGCTTCTCTGTAATGAAGGACTCCTTGGGCACAGGCACAATGATGTCAGGGAGAAGGGTGTTGTCTGGCCTTCCTGAATTGTAGTGTTTTATGTTCAGTCCCCTGCCTCCAGTGGAGGAGCACTTCAACATGGAATAACCTCCACTCCTAGCACTACGGAACAGGCAGTGGAGACAGAGAGTAAGAAAATGTGAGGCATATCTAGTGACAAAGGAAAATGTAAGTTTAGGTAAGAGATGTTATATTGTGCAAGGTTATTCCAGACAGCCCAATTCTAATGAGACTATAAGCAAACAAATGGCCAATTTGTTTTTATTAACCAACAGCTTTTTTACCTGTTTGTAGTAGAGAAAGGTCCAGTTTCTCATCACAGTCGGTTGTCTCTACTAAATAAAGATAATACATAAAATATATTATTTCTCCATAATACATACAATTAGAATTAAGTAAAACAGTAGTAATACAATTAAATGGGAAAAGTGGTATGGAAAACAGGCAAGTGTACTACATGAACGCATCAAAACCCCTACAAATTAGAAGCATTTTAAGAACTTAGGGAATTCAAAGGAAGAGCTGCTCCATAAGACAATAACCAGTTCTCTTCAGAAGGTGACTGATGAATATCCAGTTCTCTGAAAAGAAGGTATAAATAATGCCAAATGTGATAGTTTGCTCCAAAGCTCTCACAGGGCCAACTCCATATACTACATGAATAGCTTTGCAAGTCCCATGGTTGATAGTCATATTGCTTCATATACATATAAAGATTTTTGCTGTATTGTCTGCCTTATGCAGGTTAGCTCTATACCCACAAGGATGAAATTCTGTCTCCACCTAAGCAGCATTTAAACACATCTCGCATTTTTTACATTGGAAGCAATCACATCTTTTTAGGCCAACAGCAATTGTGCCAGAGTTTCACTGAACTTCCCATCAAGCAAAATGAGTGCTCCCAACACTAAACTGACTGAAGGACTACACTCAAGGGCAGAGCCTTGCATACAGAAGTTCAATCCCTGGTCCCTAGAGTTAAATTGGTCCTGGGGAGCAGACGTTAGAAGGAGCTCTCTACCTGAGCCCTGGGACAGCCACTTTCAGTCACAGAGAACAATACTGGGCTACACAGGCTAATGAACTGACTTTGTATCAGACAATTTCATATGCTCAAAAAGCAGTGTACATTAATGTCCACTTTAGGTTGGGAAAGGGACCATAAATCAATGTTGCTTTATTTTTATGGTTTTAGGTTGTTTCATGGAGAAGTAATATTGGGCAGTGATTATTATTGCATTATTGTACTTAATATAATAATAATAAAAATATTATTTATACCCCGCCCATCTGTTATTGGTACTTTTTAAATATTGTGTGCCTCTTTGGGTATTTTTAAGAATGAAAGCAAAACTTTAAAAAAATTTAAAACCTATATTCTCAGTGGATACCGTGTTATATAAAAATACTTTTTGTGATTCTTACCAAAGGAGTGTTCAGCATTCACATTATACTCACTGAGTACCATGGACTTAGGTAATATTCTGATCTGCATATATGTGCAAGAACCATGAGCCCCACTCCCTTGGGATATTAAAGTAGAGGTCTGGTTTTGTTTTTTTAATGGTGCAGCAGTAATGAAAACTTTGACTGTGATGTTTAACACAAAACAGAAGTTATACAGTTGATGTTAAATGTCAAGTTTTATGGCAGATTATTTTCACCTCAAAAAGTCACAAGATCGTTTGAGTAAATGTTGCAGTTAGAAGTTGATTTCTGGGATCACGCACAGAGCAAATGGTGAAATAGGTCTTGATCACCCAGAGGATTCTATAGCCCTCATGTTACATGCACGTAAGGCACTCATGGTTTCAAGCTGGAGCGGGGCCTTGTTCCTTGCCCTGGTGTCATCTTGCCAAGCTATCACTGCCCTTTGGTGTTCTCATTACGTGCTGCTGGTGTGTTCAAGCAGCTAATTATGATCTGGGGTTCCCTTTCAGATGGCAACATATGGTTGGAGGGTGCAGCTAGCATAGCAATGTTCTGGCTTGAAACCATGTGTGTTCCAAACACAAGTAATGAATGAATGGGGCTTAAATTCTAACCACATCAACTCACAGATCCATTGAAAGTGATGGAGTAGCTCAAGGAAATATAAAAGCAGTGAAAACGAGGAACCTGTGCCACCAGTTCTTCACCAACCAGAACAAGTTGGAGGATGTCAAGCCCATAAAGCTGACACACAAAAATAAAGCTGAGGAAGGAGAAACAGGTGCCTCCCCTATCCTGCCTTACAGTAGCTAGAACATGCTTAAAGAGAACCATGGCTCTATTTCAGCTGAACCTTTGGAATAATCACTCTAATGCAACAGTTAAAAAAAGGATACACCAAGACAGGTGAGGAGTAACACCAGTTGTCTCAGTGAATCATCAAGCGCTGGCTTGCATGTGTGAAAACAGCCACAGATCAAACTCCACAAACAGCTTTCACGCCATCGTAAGACACAAAACATTTCAATGGAGGTGATTCAGATATTCAACTCTGAGTCATAATGACTAGTTGAGTGACAAGACTAAGAAATGTACATAGGCCTGAATCAGCCCTTAGGAGCAGTGTCCTTCCTCAGTAATTCTTAAGGCTGGGTTCAGGCTGCTCACTGTCATACTGTTTGTCTTGCCACCTTGCTATCTGCATTCAGTTTGCTTTCTACCTCTTACCCTCCCTTACCTGAGCCTCTTTTTAACCGTCTTCTTGCCAGTTTGATTTGATCCTGAAGAATCTGTACCCAGTCTCTTGGGCCAGGTAGTTTATCCACATGGTTTGCAGTGCAGTATTTTTCTGTGAACACTAAAAACAGAAGGTACAAATAATCTCTTTACCAAAAGGTTGAAAAAGATGGAAAACTGCAAGCCAAGGTTTAAGTAACCAGACACAAGAAAAGCAAACTCACAACAACATTCTACATTTTATATAAAATGTGAGAACTGGATGTTTACATTTTTGTAACTTAAAATCTCCATGACTGAGCAAAGTCAGCATGTAAATGTATTCTTCCCAAACAATTTTCCAAGTGCAGGAAGATACCAACATGGGAGACCTTCAAACAAACTAACTTGCAATGTAAGCTTGGACTGTAGCTGTTTGAAAGCACTCAAATAGCCAAGAGATTTTGCATATATTAGGGAAGATCCGGTAAGCTAAGCACTCTGCGAATGTTTACCATGTTGAAAAACATTAGCAGAAGATGGCACTGACATTCCAGAAATATTCACTAGAAAGATCAGTCTCCAGACATTTAAAGAGAACACCACAAAACATTGCCTTGGAATCTCCGGAACAAAGTGACACACGAAACTATGAAATCTGAAAACACAGTGGCAACATACACATAAAATGTTACTCAGATGAAGTGGAAGAAGCCAAAACAAAGCGTTGGGCTTACACACCTCTCCCCACACTTACTCTCACCATGCAGTCAGGAAGAAGACTTCTGAAAAAAATTATTTCATTCTGTCGTGAACCAGAGATCATGGTTCATGACAAACATATTATTTAAACAAGCTAGCTTTATAACCCATGGCTTGAATGTAATGCCAAGCTAGGCTCTCTGGTTCACATGCAATACTAAGCCAGGATTCCATAAAAGTGAAACTAAACCCAGCAGAAGCCCTCTTTCTGGCTGCGGTGGGAAATGGATAGGGCAGCATGTGAGGCAGATGCTTTTGCTTGGGCTCCTTCCAGCTCAACCCTGTACCACTAAACCACTGTTCAGCATTACATGCAAATATGACCAACATGTGGCTTTGATTTTATAAAACAGAATTAACAAGGGTAAACCTTTCGTGCACATTTCAAGCTACATTTCATCTACACATCAGTGCTTTTTATGAGCATATATTTGACAACACTGCTTCCTCATGAAACAAAATCTTGGCACATCATTTTTTAAAAAGTATTTTTTTTTAATTACAAAAGGGAAAAAGGAGGTATAGATCATCTGTCTTAATTTTCTGTGAAAGATTCCAAATATATAATCAGGTATCTTTATAATAACATTTTAAATGACTGTCTGAGTTCACTATTTATATGCCTTATTGCTCTCGGGCTGTTTAACCAGAATGGTCAGGAGTGGGAGTATGAGGAAGTAAAGAAAAACAGGAAATATTTCAGTGTTGTTGGGGAACTGGTGACCTTTAACCTGAGAGACTGCCTCAGGTGCTCCATCATACAACAGAGGCAGCTTTGAATGGAGGATGAATGACCAGTCAGCTCCTTTCGCTGCCCTACTTGCATGTTTCATGCAGCCAACCTCAATTCCTCCACTGTACTTCCTGATTAAAGAAACAGAGTATATACAAGAAATATACAAGAAATAGAGCAAAAAATGGAGCCATGCAGGCCTCTGACATGGCCCCAACGATGAGCTAAAACAGCCAGGACTCACCCCAGTGGTCAGCCAGGCTGGGCAGCAGCCAAGGACCGCAGGGTCTTAGAAGGGTCCTTCCCTGCCCTCTCCACCAGACCCCTGGATGCGTTTCAGGGACAGGCAGCAGTGCTGCTTTTGAACAGGAGCAAAGATCAGCTCTGATCTGTGATGGCCAATCTTCATTTAATATTCCCAAAATGTAACACTCTGGCCTGTAGAGCTATGAAATCCATTGATTTCATAGATCTGTACCTATACTTCAGTTAGGAAATCTATAGCTTTCATTGATAGGCAACATTGCATTTTGGGCAACTTAAGATGGGGGCGGGGGGCTACCAGGGATGAAAGCTGATATTCGCTCCCATTCAAAAGTGCCACCACACATCCACAACTGAAGTGTGACTAGGGGCCCAACAATCGGCTGACAGTCAGACCTTGTGAAGCCAGGGGCATGGGGCTTTTGCACTGTGGGCTTCACAAATACCAGGCTACCAAGTCCTGTTGATGAGGGACCTCTGTCCTGAAGTCACTGTGCACAACACTTCACAGGTGCCACCAATCAGCTGATTAGTGCTACCTGCAAAGCCCCTGTTGGATCAGCCACATGTTTATCCATCCCATTATAGGTCAAGTGGGTGTGGCTTGGCCAAAACCGTCTCATGGGCCAAATGGGCCAAAAAACCACAAAAAACCCACAAACAAATGGGGAGGCCTGGTGGGTCTAAAGAGGCCTGTGGGCTGGAGGTTCCCCACTGCAGTTGTAGCTCAAAATATATTTGGGGGGCAGGCAAGTTGGGGAAAGCTGGGCTAAAGCTTTCCAGGACTGAATAAGCAAAAGACCTGAGAGCCAGGTAAAGGTGAGGCAGTGAACAGAGGCAACAGTCCAGGCAGACAAAGACAGGGGCTATGGGGGGAAATGTATAGCAAAGCCAGCTTGGAAAAGTACCCAAACCACACGCTCTGCTACAAGCCCATCTTTAAGGCTTCATTTCTGTAAACATTCTCATCCTTTGATGGCCATCACTCTACTATTAAACATACCAGATGTAAAGGAGGAAAAAATACTCAGAATTTTTCTTTGCTTAACAGTGCACATTTCTAAAGTGCGAGAGAACAACCATCATTGATATAAAACTACCTCAGCAGAGTAAACATTTTTCTTTACACGCTTAACTGATTTGTTGAGCAGAGCCAAAAGTATTGATTACAGAACATCTGAAAGGGCGACAGAGGAACCCAGTGGCAATGATGCAAAGAACATCTTTTCATTCTTAGTGCGATCTTACACTGGCTGAGCCACCACAAGGGATAAATGGGCCCATAGTATCCAGCAGAACAGCTCTTGGAAGGCAGAACGTGCAAATGGAGCCAGGCAGAGTTAAGTTCCACAGGGTGCCATCCCTTGTGTTTGCTTCTGGGAGAGGAACCCCCATCCAGCATATCAAAGTCCTCAATGCAGTATCCCTTGTGTGACACCATAAAGACAATATAAAGAGAGCCCTCTTATTATAAACAGTGCCTAGCACTACCACTCTAGATACTATCAGCTGCTGGTTGTAACTGAAAATGATCAGTATTTGAGAACTGCCTTAGGGTAGGGCATTGATGGGGAACTTATGGCACTACAGACGCTGCTGAACTCCACCTTTGATCAGTTTCAACCAGTAAGACCAATGATCTGGGAACAATAGACGTAGTCCAGGAACAACTGGTGAGCCATAGACTTCAGATTTCTGAAGTAGCAGGCTGGTGCTGACAAAGCCCCTGAAACTAAACGGACCCATATTGATACCACCAGATTAAAATGGCTATGCTTAAGTGTGCAGGATAAAACACAATACAAACAAATGAAGGCAGTTTGCCTGACTGGCAGCATATAGGCAAGCTGCCTCCCCATTTTCAGTGCTCATTTCAAGTTCTGTCTTACAAGTCAAAAGCAACAGCTAATGTCAGATTAATAACTAGGCTAAATATGATGTGGCGTGGGACTCCAGTTAGATTTGGACTCACACATAAGTATAGTTGCCGGGAGATTGTGTTCAATCAGCACACATCCTAGTTCCTAATTTTTTTATCCGCCTCTCTGAACAAGGAAAGCAGCAGCCACAACCCCTGCTATACAAACCAAACTGGGCTTGCTTGTCCCACCTGCATGGCAAGGGATGGGTGCCTGACTCCATAGCTGTTTGTAGGAATGGCCCCAGACAGAGGAAGACATACATTTGGCTCCAGAATGTGAACCAGCAAACCTCCCTCTAGCTTTCCATTCCACGCAGAGCTATTATAGCCAGCAACGTGTTTGGCTAGGGTATCTTGTTTATTTTTTTATTTATCAAAATGTATGCACCACTCAATCAAAAGAAACATTTTAAGCTGTTAACATAAAATCTTGCAGCAACATCACCGCTGCATCCCAATGCACTAAGAATGTTGTAGGTGAAATAATTAATTTGTAGTTGGAAATTTCAAAGAAATGGGGGCCAGAGAATACAACTCTTAAAAATGCATGGCGTGCTTCCCAATATCTACATTTAAAACCAATATTTTATTTCATTGACCCTCTTGACCCTCAATAGCATCTTACCATCCCTATCTTTATGATAATTATTATATTTAATAATTTCATTTCTCACAAAAGAAGATTGTCATACGCAGTTGCATAATGAGCTTTCTTCAATGCTGATCTGTAAGCACCACATCAAAAAGGTTCAGTTAATTTCAAGTTTCAAACTATATTATGAAGCATCATGTCTTTGTCGGTTGAAAGAGTGGATAAAATTAGAAAACACAGAATTGTTAGATTTGGAAGGGTTCGATAACAGATTTGGATGGCACGCCTATTTATGGTGTGAGCAGAAGAAAAATCATAAAGGTTTTGAGAACCACATCTTCTGGAGATCTTTAATTGAAATATGGGATAGGTATAAAAACCTATTAGAACCAAAAGTCCCACACTGGTTATCTCCGTTAGAGGTTATGAGTGTAAAGAAAATCAATATGAGAAGGAATTGGATTACATATGGTGAGTTGATAGCAAAAGAAGGAGGAAAATGGAAAATGAAACCTTATGAACAAGTAAAAAAGTATGTATATGATTGGTTGCATTATTTTCAAGTAAATGAAATGTTTAAAAAGGATTTTAGAGAGAATGGATATGTTGAAAAAGATTCAAAATTTCAAATAGAAATAATAAATAATGATTGTAAAATTTTATCAAAAATGTACAAAATGTTGTTGGAATGGCATACGAAGGATGAGGAAGTCAAGTCGGTTATGATACATTGGGCTAGAGACTTTGGATATAATACACAACTAGATGATTGGGCAAAAGTATGGAAGGAAAATATAAAATTTACAGCATGTACTGCATTAAAGGAAAATGTTATGAAAATGATATATAGATGGTATATTACACCGGTCAAATTAGCGAAAATGTATAAAACTTGTAATAAGTGTTGGAAATGTAAAGAAAAAGAAGGGACATTTTACCATATGTGGTGGGAATGTAAGAAGCTGAAAGGTTTCTGGGAGATGATATATAATGAACTGAAAAAGATGTTGAAATATACATTTGTAAAGAAACCAGAAGCTTTTCTGTTAGGAATAGTAGGAAATGAAAAAAATAGAAAAGATTGTAAACTTTTCCAATATGCAGTTACAGCGGCAAGAATATTAATGGCCCAAAGATGGAAACAGGAGGAATTACCAACCCTGGAAGAATGGAGAATGAAAATGATGGACTATGCAGAACTGGATAAACTAACTGGGAAGATTAGATATCAACGAGACCATAAGTTCATTGAGGACTGGGGAAAATTTGTAGAGTATCTGAAAAATATATGTGATGAGCAAACAACGCTCGTGGGATTTCAAGAAGCTCTGTGAAAGTTTGAGGAGTATTGTAAAAAAGAAAATAAGATTGGGAAGGTATATAAAAAGGCAGTATTAAATTTAGGAAATGTGTAACTAAAAATTAATTACGGATGACTGGCAGATAAGCTGAAGGAAGTCCATAAGAGATAATTTGTGATAAACTTTTGATATGGTATTATATGTATATTGTATTGAAAACTAATAAAAAATATTTTTTTTAAAAAAAAAAGGTTCAGTTAACACCGAGGCCCAGTGAAAACAAGCATCTTGTTGTGCAGTAAAATATACACTGAACTATTTTAAACTGTAGGTTGGAAACACCATGTCTGAATGATTCCCCCATTTCAAAAAAAGCATCCTGACCAACAATTGAGCTGTACATTTGTAACATTTTTCACATGTAACATTCAATGAATGTGCAGTCCATGTACTCATGTACACAATAGTTGAGATGCACAAATCAGCAAGTGTACAGTCTTTCACACAAGCCCTTGCACATGCCTTGTACTACCAGTTTGGAGATGTGTTCAGTGTTAACGAGGGAACAAGTCTTAAATGTCAGTAGTGATACGTGTGCAAATCTTTATTCCTCAATCTACAATCTGAAATGATGTAGTCCCGGAACAGTTTGACCATGCAAAAGGTTGTTGATTCAGATCAGATATCAGGAACACATAGCCAAGGCAGGCTTGCAGATGAGCTTGAGAAATTTGTAAAGATCACTAATGTTTTTAGCAACTCCCAAAACGTGATACAGCATAACCACTAGATTATATTATAAAAGCACATATATTAAAAAGAGAACAATACCTTTTATTGCACCCACAATATTTTGGTCTAGTCCTTTTCGGTTGTCATTGAGACCTCTTTTCCTCTTGCCATTGGGTAAAGAGTTGGCCAAGGTCTTGTCATCAAAAAATGCACACACCAGCTTTCGAAACAGCAGACTTCCTGAACGAGTGTAATTTGCTAATATAGAGTCCAGTTGTGATTTCGGCATAAAGACGTCAAAGCCTTCAGCAAGTTGCACTTCTGGCTACCAAAAGAATATCAATGCTTTATTAGCACCTCTTTCATAATTATTTTGTCAACAAATGACATCCAAGGAAAACATGTTCACATCAACACACATACTAGACTTTTATGACACCAGAATAGACACTGAAATAAAACAGACATTGAAATCAAAATTATCAACTGAGTATAACAAAATGCACATCAGAACCTGCTCTGTCCATTATCTTTACGAAATTATAATTACTAGAACAGGGGGAAATCCCAAGGAGCTAGTTACCTGGATGTTAATTAATTTAATGCTGGCAACTGCAATTATGAAATATTTATTCAGTACAGCAGCAGCTTTGAATAATTGGATACTGCCCATTAGGAATTTGAACTAAAATTACTATGGCTACAATCCTGCACTCACTGTTAAATGTTTAATCCCACCATAATAAACTGTTGTGATCACATTACTTGAAATCTAAGCAAGTAATATAAGGAAACAAAAGTCAGAGTATAAGAACAAAAATATTTATTTGTTGCTCAACACCTATTTCGTCCAAAAGCTGCATGCCACTTGCCTCTGGGAACTTCAAGAGCAGGATATGAAGGCTTCATTTAAATATTATGACTAACAGTCATTGATCAACTTATCCTCTGTTTATTTGGTGAATCCCCCTTCAAAGCTATTTCAGCTTGTGCCTTTCATCACACCTTATGTCATATATTGATGACATGTTGCATGAAAAAGCCCTTCTATTTATCTTTGACTCCCAACTGTAATAATAATAATAATAATAATAATAATAATAATATCTTTATTGTCATTGCCCCCTTCGGGGACAACGAAATTACTTAAAATTCAGCTTAAGAACTTGCAATAACTGGCACTAGGGCAAGATCTGATTCTGGAATCAGTTTTTATCAGTGAACACAAGTACCGTATTTTTTGCTCTATAAGACTCACTTTTTCCCTCCTAAAAAGTAAGGGGAAATGTGTGTGCGTCTTATGGAGCGATTGCAGGCTGTACAGCTATCCCAGAAGCCAGAACAGCAAGAGGCTGCACAGCGATCCCACTTGCTGTTCTGGCTTCTGAGATTCAGAATATTTTTTTTCTTGTTTTCCTCCTCCAAAAACTAGGTGCGTCTTATGGTCTGGTGCGTCTTATAGAGCGAAAAATACGGTAAATTGTTTTACAAAGTGGCATTCTAATTTATTAATTTAGGAATAGCAGTTTTTAAAATTACCCACAGCAGCTTACGAGAACTTCTTGAATTGCCACCTTTCAGAGTAAGACAAAATGATTCTATTTATTCGACTCTGCATTGTACAACTTTACAGTGCAACATTTTGCATCCGCTGCTAGTTAATAGTCAAGCTTTGGTGACCGTATGGAGATTTTCAAAGTGCAGAAAAGGTGGACAAGTTTAAGCAAGCAAGTAGATATTAGCACATACTAATCAGATTGCCACCTGGAAGTTCTCAAGGTGAGAATGACAGGTGCTTGGCACCATATATAGAACTTTGATTAGAAACAATGTCCTGTGAGCTAGTTGATCTCATCAGCATCCCTTTTGTCAAGGAAATCACAATAGGGCTTTTTCTTTGTTTTATTATCACAATAGTGTTGTTGTTATTGTTTTAAAAAAATAAGGTTAGAAAGTGATAACCTAAGTTCTAAAAAAGCCTGTGAATCAGTATGAAGCATGGGCGTGCAAAGTACTGGGGAAATGTTTTTTTTAAGAAAAACTGAATAAAAGATGTGAATTGCCTCCAGCCGTGTCCCTTTCTGCTCATGGAAAGGCCTGTGGTCCAGCAGAGGCTTCTGCAAATGGAGGACAAAAGGTTACTTTAGCTGATATTCCCTTCCCTCTGCATCTCTTTGCACATCCCACCCCACAAGACTGCTCCAGAGGCTTAGGGGGACCTGTTGAAACAGCACGAAGTGGCAAGGAGGTTGGTAGGAGAAAGGGGAATTTGCTGGAGCAAAAAGGCTTCCATGAGGGACATACTGTAATGGAATACAACCCATGATGTTTATTTCTAGAATCCTCACTATAATACCCAAGTGACATTTCTTTTCCTAAAATTAAGTTTAAAAAGAAACAAATCTAGCAAAGTTAGTATACTGAGGCTACAGAAAACCCACACCATATCTTTAAACAAATGAATGACATTTTTCAGATTTTGCTTATTTTTGTAATGCAGAACAATGGGCTCAAAATCTATTGGTATATATCAATTCCCATTCTCTCACACAGCTGCAAATCCTGCATTATTAATCAAACTTTTTTTCAGCAAAAATGTCTTTACAATTTAGTGTGGTCTGCTCACTATTCCTACTTATGGCCCCGAACCCTACATAATTTATTGGTGTATATCTTAAGTAAAAGCCGAATTCCTGCTCAAACCCACATCAAACCCGACTTTGGAAAGGCAACATAAGGGCTGGGGGGGGGGGCAAATGTTGCTGGTGACTACCCTGCTTTAAGCCAAGGACATAATTATTCCCATCTTATTTGGATATAACTGTAAGAACTGTTCCCTTCAGGGTTCTGCTTCCACTCTTTTCCCACTTGTATTCCTGCTTCTCTGTCTCCAGCCAACCAGTTACTGGACTCCCAGTGCCTTAACTCTCCTAGCAGCAGATGCCTTTCAATAGCCCCCTGGTTCCCTCTGGTTAAACCCGGTCAACTGCATACAATTTCTCCTCGACCAAGGTCTTGCGGGAGCTTTCTGTCCCAGCCATACTGACCTTTCCTTGTCTTCACAGGCAGTCTCCCGCCCTCATTTAGTAGTTAGGGGACTTGCAAGCAACAGACACGAACCAGTTTTTAGCTTATTATGTGCAACCATTTTAAGGCAATGATTCTGCCGCGCCACAGTGGAGCTCTTCCAGTACGAGCTGTGCTTTCCCCCTTTTATAGCCAGCAATGAAAACATTTCACTTGTGCAGATAAAGCCCGTTAGCTCTCTCATATTCTCCTGACATAACTCTAAATGATTTCTCCCTGTAAAAGCCAAATATTTCAATAATCTCAGCCAATTTATCAGTAGCCAATTTAACCAACTGAGGGGGAATGATTTTTTGTACATTTGAGAATTTGGTTGGAAACAAAAGGAGTTATTTCAATATCCATCCTGCCATATTTTTAGACCTTTAAGTGGGCGACAGCAGTTTAACACAAGCAGACTAAAATATAATTTAGCAAGCTGGAATAATCTTGTGTGGTACACTTAGATAATAATAATGTTTTTTAGAAAAGGATGATGCAATTACTAAGATCCAGCATGGGTTTCTCAAAAATAAGTCATGCCAGACAAATCTCATTTCTTTTTGTTGTTGTTGGAATTACAAGCTTGGTGGATCAGAGAAATGCTGTGGAAATAGTTTATCTTGATTTCAGTAAGGCTTTTGACAAAGTTCCCCATTATATTCTTGCGAGGAAGCTGGTAAACTGTGGGTTGAATGAGGTAACTGTTAGGTGGATGTGTAGCTGATTGACTGACGGAACCTTGTCATCCTGGAAAAAAGGGGCAAGTGGGGTGCTGCAGGGTTCAACGTCTTTATAAACAACTTGGATGAAGGAATTGAGGGGATGCTCATCAAATTTGCAGATGACACCAAACTGGGAGGGGTAGCTAATGCTGCAAAAGAAAAAAACAGGATTCAAGATGACCTTAACAGATAGAACTGGTCCCAAGCTAACAAAATGAATTTCAGTAGGGACAAACATACGGTTCTGCACTTAGGCAGGATGAACCAGATGCACAAATATAGGATGGGGGGACTTACTAGCAGTACATGTGAAAAGGATCTAGGCGCCTTAGTGGACCACAAGTTGAACATGAGTCCACAGTGTGATGCAGCAGCAAAAAAAAAAAAAAAAGAGCTAATGGTATTCTAGGCTGCCTCAGCAGAAGTCTAGTGTCCAGATCAAGGAAAGTAATAGTACCACTCTATTCTGGCTTGGTCAGACCACACCTGGAATACTGTGTCCAATTCTGAGCACCACAATTTAAGAAAGATGTTGACAAGCTGGAAGGTATGCAGAGGAGGGAGACTGAGATGGTCAAGGGTCTGGAAACGAAGCCTTATGAGGAACAATGGAAGGAAATGGGTATGCTTAGTCTGGAAAAGAGAACACTAATTGAAATATGATAAAGGAAGGTAAAGGGACCCCTGACCATTACGTCCAGTCGTGACTGACTCTGGGGTTGCGCGCTCATCTCGCTCTATAGGCCGAGGGAGCCGGCGTTTGTCCGCAGACAGCTTCCGGGTCATGATAGCCACCTTCAAATATTTCAAGGGCTGTCACATGGAAGAGGGAACAAGCTGTTTTTCTCCTGCTCTGGAGGGTAGGACACAAACCAATAGCTTCAAGTTACAAGGAAGGAGATCCTGACTAAACATCAGGAAGAACTTTCTGGCAGTAAGAGCTGTTCAACAGTGAAACTGTCTCCTTGAACAGTCAAGGTTGGATGGCCAGATGTCTTGGGGGCTTTAGCTGAGATTCCTGAATTGCGCAGGGTTACACTAGATGACCCTTGGGGGTCCCTTTCAATTCTACAATTCTAAACCTAGGTTATCTATTCCGATTGCATTTCATATCCTCAGATGAACTTCATTTTTCAAAATAAAAAATTCCACACTAAAAAAACTGCCACACGGCAGAGTGCCCTTGGTCACACAAAGTTGGAAAAAATATGCTCTTGTCCTCAGAGCAGCTGTCTCCACACGTTGTTTCCAGCGCTTAAAAATAAAGGTAGAGAGGTATCTTGAAATGTGTGCCACATTTTGTTTGGATTACAGCTTCACGGCTGATTTGTATGAGTTCCCTTGAGAAATCTTTCCTTTCAAATTGATTGATATTAGCTGTGCATTAACAACAAGCGATGCTCATTGCAAGTTTCCAGTGACCAGGCTATTACATAAGAACCACAATAATCATGGAAAAATCCAGTGACCCTGGATCTACCTATTAGAAAACCAATATCCCTGTATTGCAAAAGGTAGAAATATGTTTAACAGGGACTCTTCACAGGCAATCCCTAGTCTCAATTAGAGATGCAATTAATGTGTTTTGTACATTTGTGTGTGTGTTTTATAAATGAATCAGTCTGTGCCCTAGTCACATATTTTGAGGGGGGGGGGATGCTGATTTATTCCAGATTCCTTCAGTAGCAAATTATCCTTCAATTGCACGCAATCAGTACCCAATTGAGCTTCACATGGACATTTCCAAGTATGATTTATAGCCAAATAGAGTTTGTTAACATAAGATAATCAAGGCAATGGTGTACATGATTAAACACAAATGAAAGAATTGCCAAAACTTTTGTTTTGCTAAAATTAGCAAGCAGCAAATTAGATTTAGTCCAAGCATTTCTGAATATTTTAATTGATTAAAACAGAACTCCTTTGCCAAATCTATACAAATTATTTGCTTTGCATGGAAAACAAATAGAACGTTTACTTAGAAGTAGGGCACTCAGGTGCTTTAGTCACAAAGGTAGATAGCATTTTTCGGCAATCCTATGCCCAGTTCCCAGTGACCTGAGAATAATATCCACTGAACATACTGGGGCTTACCAGTGACGTAGTGTAGGTTGCCAGCAACCAGGGCAGGCTAAGTATTGTGAACCCTAAAAAGCAGTGGTGGTGGTGGTGTCAGACACCTGCCAGCCCCGGAGGCAGCTCCTGGGTTTGTCTCATGCCTCTGTCCAAAGACCATACCAGGATGGGCTTCTGAAAGCATGGAGGATGGCCAGAGCCTCGCCCTTCGCTTTGCCCAGAAAAGCAGAGAGATCTCCGGACGAGGGAAAAGGCCGCTGCGCCCTCCACTTTGGAGGTCAAAACTCCCTCCAGCAGTGCTTGTGGGAAGGTGGCCACCAGGTGCCACCTTGTTCCCAAGCTGGGGTGCCTGCCAAGGCCACTTGGCTGAGAGCCCCGGTCTAAGGAGGTCACTCCCCAGAACGGAACAGGCATGCCCGGCCCTCCCCTGCTGCCACCAGCTCTCCTCTCCCACCTGCCCCCCCCCAGGAGCACGTTCACCTGCAGCCTCTTGAAGTTCTTGCTGGCCAGCTCCTTGAGGGCACAGAGCAACGAGGCAGGAGCAAGCATGGTGTTATTATCTCAGTTCGCCAGCCCCTCTGAGCTGCCCCCACCAGCTTTGAGCGTGGAAGCTCCTCTCCTCTCCCTGCCCCTATTGCCCGCTGGATCTGGGCTTAGGAGTAGAGCGCTGCCACATGAGGCGCCTCACGGCTACCCTCCTGCCTGGCTTCGCTCGGCACGACTTAGGGCGGGGTGTTCCGTTGGGTCTTCCTTGCCTCTGGCCACCAGTGAGCCCAGTTCAGTCGTAGCCAAGCCCACCTGGGCACTCCAGCCTTAAAGGAGGGCCATCAATTTCCTGGGAAATTTTTACACACATGCCCAAATACACCCAGGGCCACCGCCCACTTGCCTCCTCCCTGGGGATTACTTCTGCACAGGTTGTTCCAGTAATTAATTAGAATAAATCTAACATGTAATCATGTTGTATAAACCTCCATTGAAAGAATCCAAAACCAGTATTGGGGTAAAATGTACACCAAGACAGCCAAACAACCTAGTTATGGGATATTGTTTGTATGGTTAAATTCACAAATATGATGAGAACCAGAGAAGGCAGAGTGTATTTATAAAATATTTATAAAATGTAAACCTACACAATAACATATTTTGTCTAACCACAGTTTTTTAAAAACAGAAATATATATATATAGTGCCATTAACAGACAAGTCCCAAACAAGCTGGCTATACAGACTCAGCCCAGGGTTTGATCAGCTCTAGATTTAGGTATAACAGGAAGTGATGTCTTTTGGAATGTTCATGCCATGGAGGGCTGTTCAGGTTCCCAATAATATAGGCATTTCAGCAGGCAATGCCCACATTCCTTTAATTTAAAATGAAAGCATTGGCCACCATGTGGAGAGCAAATGGAGGATATAGATGATGCCTTCCTGGAACAGATGGCCAAGCATGCAAAAAGAAGGGAGATAGTAGTAATGGGGGACTTCAATTACCCGGATATTTGTTGGATGTCAAACTCAGCCAAGAGCATAAGGTCAAACAGATTCCTCACTGGCCTTGCAGACAACTTCATTGTCCAGAAAGTGGGAGAAGCAACAAGAGGAACAGCCATTTTAGATCTGGTCCTAACCAATGTTGATGACCTGGCTAGTGGGGTAGAAGTGGAAGGATCATTAGGCGTGAGTGATCATGCTCTTCTGAAGTTTACTATACAGCGGAAAGGAGCAGCCAAGCATACTAGGACTCAATTTCTTGACTTTAAGAAAGCCGATTTCATAAAACTTAGGGAAGTGCTGGGTGAGATCCCATGGACAGCAATACTAAAAGGAAAGGGAGTTCATGATGGCTGGGAGTTTGTTAAGAGGGAGATAGTAAAAGCACAACGTCAGGCAATACCAATGAGACGGAAACATGGAAGGTGCCTAAAGAAGCCAGGGTGGCTATCTAAAGAACTTTTAACTAAGATTAAAAAAGGATGTGTACAAAAAATGGAAAAGGGGGGAAACCACCAAAGAGGAATTCAAACAAATAGCCAGAAGACTATTTGTAGTCACAAAGTCAGAAAAGCTAAGGCACAGAATGAACTCAGGCTTGCTAGAGAGGTTAAAAGCAACAAAAAAGGCTTTTATGAGTATGTTCGTAGCAAAAGGAAGAACAAAGAAACAGTGGGGTCACTCAGAGGAGAAGATGGTGAAATGCAAACAGGGGACACAGAAAGGGCTGAACTCCTCAATGCCTTCTTTGCCTCAGTCTTCTCCGATAAAGAAAACAATGCCCGACCTGAAGAATTTGGAGCAAATGATTCAGCAGAGGAAACACAGCCCAGAATAACTAAGGAGATAGTACAAGAATACTTGGCTAGTTTAGATGTATTCAAGTCTCCAGGGCCAGATGAACTGCATCCAAGAGTACAGTGGTGCCTCGCAAGACGAAAAGAATCCGTTCCGCGAGTCTCTTCGTCTTGCGGGTTTTTTCCTCTTGCGAAGCAAGCCCATTAGCGGTTTAGCAGATTAGCGCTACAGTATTAGCGGCTTAGCGGGCTTAGCGGATCAGCTGATAAGCGGCTTAGCGATCAGCTGTTAAACGGCTTAACGATCAGCTGATAAGCGGCTTAACGATGAGCTGATAAGCGGGTTAACGATCAGCTGATAAGCGGCTTAGCGATCAGCTGTTAAGCGGCTTAGCCGATCAGCTGATAAGCGGCTTAGCCGATCAGCTGATAAGCGGTTTAGCGGCTTGGGAAAAAGGGGGGGGAGGAAAAAAACCCCGCAGGAACTCGCAAGACATTTTCGTCTTGCGAAGCAAGCACATAGGAAATTTGTTTTGCGAAGCACCTCCAAAACGGAAAACCCTTTCGTCTAGCGGGTTTTCTGTCTTGCGAGGCATTCGTCTTGAGGGGCACCACTGTATTAAAAGAACTGGCAGATGTGATCTCAGAACCACTGGCAGTCATCTTTGAGAATTCCTGGAGAACAGGCGAAGTCCCGGCAGACTGGAGGAGGGCAAATGTTGTCCCTACTTTCAAAAAGGGGAAAAGAGAGGACCCAAATAATTACCGCCCAGTCAGTCTGACATCAATACCAGGGAAGATTCTGGAGCAGATCATTAAGCAAACAGTCTGTGAGCACCTAGAAAGGAATGCTGTGATCACCAATAGTCAGCATGGATTTCTGAAAAATAAGTCATGTCAGACTAACCTGATCTCGTTTTTGACAGAATTACAAGCCTGGTAGATGAAGGGAACGCAGTGGAATGTAGCCTACCTTGATTTCAGCAAGGCATTTGACAAGGTGCCCCATGATATTCTTTGTAAAGAAGCTGGTAAAATGCGGTCTTGACTATGCTACCACTCAGTGGATTTGTAACTGGCTGACTGACCGAACCCAAAGGGTGCTCATCAATGGTTCCTCTTCATCCTGGAGAAGAGTGACTAGTGGGGTGCCACAGGGTTCTGTCTTGGCGGTCTTATTCAACATCTTTATCAACGACTTGGATGATGGACTCAAGGGCATCCTGATCAAATTTGCAGATGACACCAAACTGGGAGGGGTGGCTAACACCCCAGAGGACAGGATCACACTTCAAAACGACCTTGACAGATTAGAGAACTGGGCCAAAACAAACAAGATGAATTTTAACAGGGAGAAATGTAAAGTATTGCACTTGGGCAAAAAAATGAGAGGCACAAATACAAGATGGGGGACACCTGGCTTGAGAGCAGTACATGTGAAAAGGATCTAGGAGTCTTGGTTGACCACAAACTTGACATGAGCCAACAGTGTGACGCGGCAGCTAAAAAGCCAATGCAATTCTGGGCTGCATCAATAGGAGTATAGCATCTAGATCAAGGGAAGTAATAGTGCCACTGTATTCTGCTCTGGTCAGACCTCACCTGGAGTACTGTGTCCAGTTCTGGGCACCACAGTTCAAGAAGGACACTGACAAACTGGAACGTGTCCAGAGGAGGGCAACCAAAATGGTCAAAGGCCTGGAAACGATGCCTTATGAGGAACGGCTAAGGGAGCTGGGCATGTTTAGCCTGGAGAAGAGGAGGTTAAGGGGTGATATGATAGCCATGTTCAAATATATAAAAGGATGTCACATAGAGGAGGGAGAAAGGTTGTTTTCTGCTGCTCCAGAGAAGCGGACATGGAGCAATGGATCCAAACTACAAGAAAGAAGATTCCACCTAAACATTAGGAAGAACTTCCTGACAGTAAGAGCTGTTTGACAGTGGAATTTGCTGCCAAGGAGTGTGGTGGAGTCTCCTTCTTTGGAGGTCTTTAAGCAGAGGCTTGACAACCATATGTCAGGAGTGCTCTGATGGTGTTTCCTGCTTGGCAGGGGGTTGGACTCGATGGCCCTTGTGGTCTCTTCCAACTCTATGATTCTATGTGGTCATATGCGCCTACACCCAGTGCTATTAGTCTACAAAAAGAGGTCCCTGCCAGAGGTCACCATGGACCTCTCCCGTGTTCTGTCAAAAAGGCAATGGTGCCCACCTGAGAGGTGCTGGAGCTGAACTCAGGGGGCCGGGTTCCTGCCTGCACCTTCAGTTTTATAATAATAAGGAATGCCCTCAGGCTGGAATTTCTGATCTGTGATTCTTACATGGAAGAAATGAGAATTCTCTTAAACAGAACAAGTGTCTAATCTTTAGAAGCAGCTTAGCACTGACCACTTTTGTTTTTTCATTAAAAGCTGCCAGACAGGTCACAATCTACATTTAACACAATCTGGGTTTAACCCTTACCATCCCCTTTCTTCCTGAAAATCTCTCCGACTGCTTCTGTTTTCCCTAAAGGTGCTACTTACTGCATAAAAACAGTTTTGAAGGGCACATGGTAGCTGGGAAGCATTGTCCTGCAAGAAAATGTTGTGAGAAGTAAACTATTAAACCCCTGCCCTGAGCACCATGTTCCCAGTCTATCTGGGGCCCTGCATAGCTGCTTTTTCTTGAAAACAAAACATAAAAATAAAGTGCCCAGCACTGACACATTCTTTCCAAAATGCATTAGCATAATGTGTTGTCTGCTCCCAAATCAACTTGCCCATTCCTGGACTAGATCTACCCTTATGTTTCTGCCGCTTTAAGTGTAGGCCTCCTGATGGGAAGAAGGGAAGCCCAGATAAGCAATTCCTGCCATAGGTACAATAGGAAATATTCTCTGAAGGTGGGTAGGTCTACTGCTTTTCTACATAAGGAGCTGAATCCAATCTACCGCATTCTTCGCCCTATAGGACACACTTTTTCCCCTCCAAAAATGAAGGGGAAATGTGTGTGCATCCAATGGGGCGAATGCAGGCTTTCGCTGAAGCCTGGAGACCGAGAGGCGTGGGTGCGCACCGACCCCTCTTGCTCTCCAGGCTACAGGAAGCTATCCGCAAGCCCTGCGTTCCCGCCGGGCTCGCAAGGCTTGCGGGCAGCAGCCTGTTCTGGGGGCTGGGGACGGGGGAAGCTCGGGCTTCCCCCGCCCCCAGCCCCGCAAGCAAGCTCTGGGAGCGAAGGCAAGGGTGCGCAAACTCGCCATCACTCCTGGACCCGTTCTGGGGGCTGGGGACGGGGGAAGCTCGGGCTTCCCCCGCCCCCAGCCCCACAAGCTCCGAGAGTGATGGCGAGGTTGAGCGCAACCTCGCCTTCACTCCCAGACCGACAGCCCCGAGGCTAAAAACGAAGCCAGGACAGCTAGTGGGATCCATCCCGCTCGCTGTCATGGCTTCTTTGCTCTTTGGGGCTCGGGGGGGGGGATAATTTTTTTCCTATTTATTCCCCCCCCCCCCAAAAATAAGTGCGCCCTATGGGCCGGTGTGCCCTATAAGGCGATAAATACGGTACATAATTCAACTACACCCAAAGAAGAACCATGGTACGATTGCCTTCTTGCACATAAGTGTGATGGAAGGGAGGATAGACCAGTGCTTCTTCTTTGGCGATCACTCGTGCCAAGTAAGATTGTCTTCCAGTAATGTAGTCCTAACAGTGTGTCTGTAAATGACTGGAGGCCAATTCTGGATCCACACATCCTTCCACAGAGGGGACATAGGTTTCTGGGTGGGAGTTGATCATGGTGAGGATTTTGCCAAACGTGCCTTCCTCTTAGCTCGTTTCTCCCTTTTGCCCCAAGTTCGTGCTTCTTCAAAGTCCGTGGCACCTTTGGTAAAGGCTATTCTCCAACTGGAGTGCTTGCAGGCCAGTGTTCCCCAATTATCCATGCTTATAGTGCATTTTTAAAAATTGCCTTAAGAGCGTCTTTAAGCCTCTTTTGTTGTCCACCAGCATTTCACTTTCCATTTTTAAGTTTGGAATAGAGTAGTTGCTTTGGAAGATGATAATCAGGCATCCGAACAACATACAGTCCAATGAAGTTGATATTGAAGGATTGTTGTTTTGACACTGGTGATCTTTGCTTCTTCCAGTACACTGACATTAGTTTGGCTATCTTCCCAAGTGATATGTAAAATCTTCCAGAGAGGGAATCTTTCAAGGGGTTGGAGATGGTGTTTATAAGTGGTCCATGTTTCACAAGCATATAGTAAAGTTGGTAGTAGTTTTGTAAACAAGCGTTTTGGTTTCCCTGTGAATGTCCTGGTCCTAAAACACTCAACACTTCGATCAGGAAGCTGCACTCACAGAGCGAGCTCAGGCGATACATCAATGTCAGCTGTTGTGGAAATATAACTGCCTAGAAAAATGATTTACACCATTAAGTTGGATTTGTGGCACTGTGGAGAGGTTGTTTTGTGCTTGTGTTGGAGCAGCTTCTGTCAATATATTTAGGATGGTTTGGAGGTCATCCTGAGTGTGCACACACTACATTGTCATCAGCATAGTGAAGCTCTACGATGGAAGTTATGGTAACCTTACTCTTTGCTTCCACCCTACTCAAATAGGAGAGCTTTCCATCTGTTCAATATATTTCTACCCTGGTGGGGAGTTTCCCTTCAACAATGCATAGGATCATGGCAATGAAAGTAATAATAGTTGGGGCAATAACATAACCCTGTTTAACACTTGATCCCACTATGAATGGTTCACTCTGAGAGCCACTGTGATCCGTGATTGTTGCTGTCATATTATCATGGAGGAGCCAAAGAATGTTCACAAATTTATTCGGCAGCCGATTTTCAGAAGGACAGTCCACAGGTGGTATGGTTTTGCTCTCTGCGTTTTTCTTGAAGTGAAAAATCATATCCACTTCCCCCCTAGAAGATCGAAAACCATTTTGGGATTCAGGAAGGGTATCCTCGGATATAGTTAGGAGGCAGTTTGCTAAGATCCTTGCAAGAATTTTGCCAGCCACAGCTAATAAACAGATGCCTCAATAGTTTCCACAATCTGTTCTATCACCTTTTTAAATAAAATATTGATAATTTTGGCATCCCTAAAGTCTGCAGGGATCTCCACTCTCTCCCAGATTTTTTCAATGAGCTTGTGAAGTTGTTGTGTAAGTTCAGTTCCACCCACTTTGAAGACTTCGTCAGGTATCCCATCAGGTCCACTGGCTTTGTTGTTTTTCATTTGGTTTATAGCTGTACACAACTCTCCCAGATTTGGAGATACAAGACTGCTGCTGCTGCGGAGGCCGGCGAGAGGAAGAAGGAGAAGGTGACGCTGGAGATGAAGAAGGAGATCATCCGGAAGCACGACGGTGGAATGCGTGTGACGGACCTCGCCAGGAGTACGGCAGGAACCCATCGACCATCGGGACCATCCTGAAGATGAGGGAGAAGATCCTTGCGACTGATGCAGCCAAGGGAGTCACCAGGATCGTGAAGAACCGCCCAGCTGTTCTGGAGGAGGTCGAGAAGTTGCTCCTCATCTGGATAGAAGAGAAGCAGCGTGCAGGGGACACAGTGACTGAGGCCGTGATTTGTGAGAAGGCCAAGGCCTTGCACGCAGACCTCATCCGGGAACAGCCAGGAACCTCGGCCGAGCCAGAAGTCTTCAAGGCAAGCAGAGGCTGGTTTGACTGGTTCAAGGCAAGATCCGGAATCCACAGCGTGGTCAGGCATGGAGAGGCTGCCAGTTCTGATGTTCCTGCGGCTGAAGACTTTGCCTTGGAGTTCCTGGAGGTTGTGAAGACGGAGGGCTACGTTCCACAGCAGGTCTTCAACTGCGACGAGACCGGGCTGTTTTGGAAGAGGATGCCCAAAAGTACTTTCATCACACAGGAGGAGGCCAAGTTGCCTGGCCACAAGCCCATGAAGGACCGTCTGACCCTGCTCTTCTGTGCCAACACAAGCGGCGACCTGAAGATCAAGCCCCTGCTGGTGTACCACTCGGAGAACCCACGGGCCTTCAAGAAACACAAGGTCGACAAGGAGCGGCTGAGTGTCATGTGGCGATCCAACAGCAAGGCTTGGGTCACACGTGTGCTGTTTGTGGACTGGGTCAATCTTGCCTTTGGCCCTGCTGTCAAACAGTACCTGCTGGACAACGACCTGCCGCTGAAGGCTTTGCTTCTGATGGACAATGCTCCTGCTCATCCTAAAGGCCTTGAGGTGGACTTGTTGGAGGAGTTCAGCTTCATCAACATCATGTTCCTGCCGCCTAACACCACGCCACTGCTCCAGCCGATGGATCAGCAGGTCATCGCCAATTTCAAGAAACTCTACACCAAGGAGCTTTTCAGGCGATGCTTCGAGGTGACTGATTGCACCACCATCACCCTGCGGGAATTCTGGAAGGACCACTTCGACATCGTCACCTGCTTGAAGATGATCACCACGGCCTGGAAGGGGATCAGCCAGAGAAATTTGAATTGCGCTTGGCGCAGCCTGTGGCCGGACTGTGTGGCACCAAGTGACTCTGATGCACCAGAGTCGACAGTGGTGCAGGACATTGTTGCCTTGGGGAGGACCATGGGCCTGGAGGTCACAGAGGAGGACGTTTGCGAGCTGGTGGAGGAGCACGACCACGAGCTGACCACCCAGGAGCTGGTTGAACTGCAGTCAGAGGTTGCGCAGGAGCAGGCCTCGCTGGAAGAGGAGGAAGCAACTGAGGAACGGCTGTCCTCCAAAGAACTGAGGGACATTTGCATGAAGTGGAATGAGGTGCAGGCTTTTGCAGTGCAAGCTCATCTCTAATTTGTTTTGAGGGACTTGTGAGAGGACCTCAGCAGCTACAGGGGAGTTGCGGTTAAGGAGATGCTAGAAATGTTCTTTCTGGGTAACAGGCCAGACACCCACTTCTGCAGGGGCATGCTTGGAATTCACAATTTTTATTTAATGAATTTATTTCTTAACAGTAGAAGTTTTCTCAGAGTACACCATTTACTTAGGTGCAGTCAATAATGTTAATCAAGTATAACATTTCCGTATGGCAATAAGGCATTGTAGGAAAGTGTTGGCAAACTTTATCTCACAGATCACTACCAGGGGCATATGCATCTCCCAAACTGGTAGTTCAGAAATGACCTTACTTTATTGATTCATTTGAAGGAGGCTACTGAAAGTGTGCCCCAGAAGTGTTGAGGGCGACCCTCAACTACATATTTTGCAAAGATTGTTCTGGTGCACAGAGAAAAGAGGTAATCTAAAGGTTGAGGGATTGGGTCCTTGCACTAGCTTGACCATGAAGCTGCCGTTTGTAATAATCAGCAAACAGTTTCAATGGGTGGCCTTAAAGAAAATCACTATGTCACATCCCCAGCCAACTGAGATATGGGGATAATAATATTGATCTGTCTTTCAAGGCTTCTAAGGCTTGGGATTCTAAGGCTTGGGATCACTAAGGCACTGTATACAAAGGCATTCAATTGTCTAAAAAGCAATTTCTATATGATAATTACTTAATATTTTGCATACATAGGCTTCCCCTTTCATTAAAATTGAAAGATTTGAAATGGAAAGATTACTTAATTCAGCTTTGAAGGTTACCCTATAGACATATCAAGAGTTGTAATTGTGGCTAATTCACATAATGCAGTTAACATGTATTTAATATAAATTGGACAAGTGGAGCCTGCAACAAAATGTTGCCGTGTGGAGTGGTCCAGCCATTCCATTCACCCCAGCTGAAAATTAATGAGAGATGTAAACTCAGGCTTCCAACCTGATCCTATGCATGTTTACTCTTATGTAAATCCCACTGACAGAGGGGATTCATATAAGTGTATAAAGAACTGAAACATAATCCCATACTCAGAAATCCTCCAGAGTTCACCAAGGTCAGTTCCCAAGCTAGCGCCCAAAGGAATGCAAGCTTCATTCACGGTTTTAGTTTTCAGTCCTTTGAATATGTGATAGCACAAATGCCAAACTTTTCTTCTATGAACATGAGAGCTAGAGACATTTTTTAAAAAGAAAAAGGCTAGTTAGAATCATAGAGACTCCTACAAAGGACTTCATCCCAGTGGAACAATTTGCCAGGCTTGAACAAAATCACAAAGTACAAACACCCTCTAGAAATTATATGTACCTTTCACAAACTGATCATTGTTCTTCCACAACAACTGTGAATCCCAGGCCCTTAATGTGCCTGTCCACATAGATGCAGATAAATAAAAACCTCATTTCCCCCCACCTTTCGTTAAGGGACAATGCAAAATAGTGAATTGCCAAAGACTACAGAATGAGGGTCGTGACTAGGTGAGAATATGAACTCAAATCTCACCAGTCTCTTTCTAAATGGCATTCTCTCCCCCCAGAGATAGAAGATTCACCCAATGCCCTTCAGAGCAACTTCCAAGTTTTGTTGTTGTTTTTTAATTATATTGTGGTTAAAGATGTAAAACATGAACATTTTAAAATAATTAGCCCAAGGCTTGATGAATCATTCTGTAAAAATAAATAAATAAATCCAGCATTAATTACTACTCTGCCTGAATTCACTCATTGAGCAATGAGACACTGCTTAAAAAATGTAGCCACTCTAGAAACCCCAAACAAAAAACCAAACCTTGAACCTGTATGTTCAAAACATGGAAAACTGACGGGCAATCTGAAAACAGGTCAAAATAATAAAATCACTTACAAAACTGAAAGAGAAGTTTCCAATCCTTTCCCTGCACAGTCATTTCTGGCTGTAATTATAATTACATACAAGAACCACAGAAAAGCATTTAACCAGTTGCTATGTATCATTACACAGAGTCTGTCGGATGACACACTAATCTAATTACCGGTGTAGCTCACATCTGTGTAACTGAATTATCATGACTGCTCTTTTTTATTATTAGTTTGCACTTCTAGAAAGGTACAATATTATCTACAGAATTTCTTTCATTTATGATCATTGATACGGAATTTAATTATGTTCTCTGAGCTTGCTGTACTTAGGAAATTGGAAACTGTCTTCTCAAAATTAAAAAGGTACGTTGAAGAAATTAATGATCAGCTTACTCATCAGTGAACTTTTCAGTGAACTTTTGAAGCTCAAACAAAGCCAACCAGCCACCCTCTTGCTCTCCTGATATTCATTCTACAAACATCTAATTCAAAAGGAGAAAATGCCAAGTGTGCCCTTTTGAAATCCTGGCTCTGGATTTTGACATTTACAATTTCAGCCCCGATACTTCAAGTCTACCTTCACATGTAAGCTTTCTTTGTGCCTTGAGAGAGTATAAAATTGGGCAGATCAGTCTTATGGTTAGGATTAACCACCAGTGGCGCAACTAGTGATTTGCACAAGTTCAACTCACAAGTGAATGCACTTCTGGTCAGCAAATAGGAAATCTCTCACTTCTCTTTATTGTTAAAAGGGTTCTGCACAGCCTTGTGACGTTGCTTCCACAGGACAGTTCTTACTAACAGATTATAACCATTAACACGGACAGAAAAAAGTGACATCGCTTTAGCTTTCCACTTGTTCTAGCATTACTTATGGCAGGGGTAGGGCAGAACAAGCTATTCTAGTGCTACAGACTGAGAATGAATACATTTCATACAAAGTCCTCACCCTTGCCATCTTTGTCACAAAGACCCTTGTGAGATACAGCAAATTAGCCAACCCATGGGAGGCTTTGATTCTATAACATCATCCCTGGTTTTACCTTGGCAACTGCAATAATGCTAACAAAACTCATCTTCTGTAGCAAGCCTCTTGCTTACTTGTCCCCTCAAACTGAATCCAAGTAAACACTCTGCATTTGCTCGCCATCCTCCCCCCCCATCTCATCTCTCCCTTCAGCCCACTGACCTTATGCACGTACACTGGTGACACGGCATAAATAACAACAGCAGCTACTTAACTTGTGCACTTTTTCCTAATGCCAACTGTGCTAATCTGATTAAAGAGGAATGAGAAGTCAGTTTTTAAGATCTGCGGATAACTGAGAAGCCTTTTGTAACTCGTGCATGCCCCTTCCCCGCATCCCTGATTTCTTCACTTTCTTGAGGAGGAGGGGATATCATTATCTTAGTACTTTAGCACCAACTCTTAGATTCCCTCAGACTCATGTACAGTGCAGCTGCAAAACCAAAAAATAATTCCTTCAATTGTCCCATGGCTAAATGCATCCCAATATGCTTGTGAACAAATGAACAAGGCCTATTCAATGCTAGGCTCAATAGAAATGTTTTTGGAATGATTCCCTCAGGGGCATACTAGTACAAAACATGAAACAGGAACAGGACAATCATATGGATTTGTTAGGATATAGTGTGTGCATACAGATCTTTCCTGAAAATATAAATTATGTGGATGGTCAGCCCTTATGTTGCAACCTGCAGATGTAGAAAAGATCCCACGGGAAACCGACATTACGGCCTAATCCAAGACTTACTACACTACCGACAACACCTGTGACATGAGGTTTGCACTCTTAACAGGGTCTGTTCTGCCAGCACCTGGTCAACTTACATCTGAAGATGAAGATTCGAGGACAATGCCAAATCCTGAAACCTGTGACTCCAACTTTGAGGATGATTCAGCAGCTTCCACACTAGAACTTTCAGAGTTTGCTGATAGCTTTTTTTCATTCTCTGCAGTGCTGGGCTTTTTATTCACAGTAAGAGGTTCAATAGTCTTTGGAGGTATTTTTTTCTTTTTATTTCTCTTTCTTGAAAGTGTTGATTTCTGTGTGCAAACCAGAGGAACTGGGGGCGGTTGTCTGTTCTGAGCAGCAACTGAAGAAAGAAAAACCTGTGAGTACACTTCCAAATGTGTATCAAAGATGACAGTTACCACAGCCCAGACTCCTGACCAGTTCCCACCCTCTTATCAGAACCAGCTGCTTGAACCAACAGCTGTGGGCGGAGCACTCTCTGTGGAGCCGTCAGCTGGGGAAGCTGCTATGGGGAACATGGCATAACGCAAAAATCATGCTGACCAGGGGAAGTCAGCTATGTTTTGCTGACACTGAGATCATACGCACACTCAACACCCTGTTGCTGTTGCTGTCTAATAACAACAGGAACATTCCTCAGTACTGTACCAGGAAAAATATACAACTTGGCCACAACACTCTTATTTCATGGAAATCGCTTAGATGTTGCCTGCACATTTTGCCCCATAAGTTTCTTTCTAGGAGGGCTAGAGACTCACTTTTTTCAAAAAGGAAAGTTCAGAGTACCTGTAGGCACTGGGTTGGCAACCCCTGATCCATGCCATCTGGGCAGCAGTCTTTCTTTAAGACCTATGCTTTCATGAAAAGGCACTTATAAGGCAGTCTGTCTGCAGACTGAAAATTATACCTAATAGTTGAAAAGACAGACTATCATACCTGCTTGGATCTGCATTATCTTTCTCATGGTTTTAAGCTCCTGAAGAATGGCTTGCAATGCTGGTTGGCAATTACAAGTACAACAATTTGAGCCAGAGGAAGTATTAGCCACCGGAATTTCTCCTGAAGAAAAAAGGGAAATTAAAACAGTGATGCAGGGCAAGAATGTCTTCACAGGGTTTTAATGCTGTCTGATACATGCTGTTAGGAAATTGAAACCTAAAATTAAAATCTCCACTGTGAGGTGGCGGCGGCGGCGGCAGGGGTGTGCTCTGTCATTCCCCTCCCCACACAAATAACGTTCCATGGTATAGTGAAGTCTGCACAAAACAGCCAGCACAATGTAAGCTCACAGCAGGCCTCCTTATTGTCAAACTAGTTCACGGTGGATAACAAGAGCACTGAACCTCATTACAGAAACAGTTGCTCTATCATGCACGGAGCAACCCAGAAAGGCCCTTCCTCCATATGACAATACCCCTAGAAAGAATGAGATGGCTGTGTAATAAGTTATTTAATAAAGAACTAACAAGTCTAAAATGGATTGAACGCCGCTTGTTGCTTCACAGTATTAAAAATTAAAAGAACAGAGTCCTCCATCATCAATTTCCATGAACAGAGAAGTTCTATGAAGGCAGAAAATATCCACAACTTTCCCTTTCATTGTGACGGTGAACTCCTACATCCCAGTTTCTTTTAAAGTATTGCTGTTGAAGGTTGTCAACTATCTCTGTACTACTGCACTTCATACTGCTAAATTTATATTTGATTTATAACCTGCTTCCCAACTAAAGTCTGAAAGCTTCCTGCACAGGAACACAGAAGGCAGCCTTGTACGGAGTCAGGCCATTGGCCTCCCTAGTTAAGTACTAGCTACACGGACTGACAGAGGCTTTCCAGGGTTTCAGCCCAAACTGGAGATGCCAGGGATTGAACCTGGAACCTTTAAAACAGAAACTATGTGCATTCCCATGGCTCCTGGCTGCTGAGAAATGGAGACCTTGCCACCCTGGGCTCAGGTATCAATTTCTGTATTTAAAAACAAGGGTCTTTTCAGATGTTTCCAGCACAACTAATGTCAGTTGCTACATGAGGTCCAGGTAAAATGACTACGGAGAAAGCGTTTCCATGATGGGGTCAATATAATAGGTCAGTGGCAGGGACCTAATCATGCCAGGCAGGGGCCCTACTTAGGTCTGTGAGGCCGTTTCCCCCCAAACCACACCACCTGCCCCACACCTAACAGCATTATGTGACATCAAGAGTGGGGCAAGTAAAGATGTGTCTGGGATTGGCTACCCTAGAGAGCTGCACATTGGGAACTTCCAACTGCAGTGGACACGTTAAAGCTCTCAGCGTTGAACAGCTGACAGCAATGAGCAAAAGCCCCTCTGAAGTCTGCTTGCAGGCACAGTGTGGCTCCAAAGACCTGCCATGGGCCTTCCAAGGGGCTTGCTCTCAGCGCTGATCAGCTGATCGATGCTGAAAGCACACCCCTTGTTATTACATATGAACGGTGGCACAGGAATATTTTAATAAACAAAGCCCTTTTTCATTAACACAAAGGGTTGCACAATAAAAGAATGGAAAAACCATAAACAGCCTAAATGTATATTTTAGCAGTAAAGAAGCATTTGTCATCCGGCTCTTTCCTATGCCCCCTCTCCCTGAGAGGTTTGGAAGGTGACAACATGAGAACGGGCCTTTTCTGTGGTGGCTCCCCGTCTGTGGAACGCTCTCCCCAGAGAGGCTCGCTGAGCACCATCATTATATGTCTTTAGGCGGCAGGTGAAAACATTCAGCTTTACCCAAACATTTGGCCATTAAATAATTTATGGCCCGTTAAATTGAGGGACTGTTATTATTATGCTGCATAAATTACGTTTTCAATGTTGTACAGTGTCCTGAGATCTTTGGATAAAGGGTGGTATATAAATCAAATAGATAAATAAATAAAACAAAACTAGTCCCAGATACCTTAGGAAGGATCTTCAGAGCCAAAGCTACCTTTCACAAGGCAATGGAAAGAAAAGTATGCAGCTAAGCATGCATCTATCTAGCAAGGAGTTCCACAAGACTGAAAAAAAAGGCCTTGTTTGAACATGCAGGTTGTCAGAGAGAAAACACCAGGATAACCACAAATCCTCAACAGGTCACTGAACTTGTATGAGCCTGTTTTAGTATATAGCCTCCTGTTCAAGAACTATAATTCCATTGGCTTTGCACGTTACTAGTTCCCAGTTCATTCTGCAGCAGTCTTTATATTTCCTAACTGTATGTACAGCAAGGTTTAATCAAACAATATAAAACAAATATTATTAGGGCTATGAAACAGAACGCTATAAGAAAAAAAAACCTGTCTTTTTCAGCTATTAAAAAGAATATTTTAAAATGGAGTCTGTCTGTGAGAACTGAGTCTGTCTTAGAGAACTAAGCTTAGCAAATAAATATTATTTTATGAATTTGTCCCTTTCCTCTTCCAAGTTTTTAATATTCTGGTGAATATCATGATAAAATTTTGACAAAGCAAACCTTGGAATAAATTCATGCTCATCTTTTCTGCTACAAATATAATGCATTACTAATGAGGTCTGCAGGTACTGAAGCCCCATTTGAAAACCAAAAGGTCTGTTTTCCTACTGAGGCATGGGGGATTTACATTATAATTCCCATTAGCATTGATAGAAATTACCCATGTAAATCTACCCTGTGTACAGTAAATGGAAAAAAGAGACCACCAATATTTCAAATCAAAAGCAGGGCTCTGCTAACTTCATGCATATTTATGGAGATTTTTAAAAAAAAACCAAAAAGCATTTCCATCATTTTTCTTCAAATCAACAAGAGTAAAACAGAACACTTTACAGAATGTTCTTATTCAATGTTCAAAGCATCACCTAAAGAATAAAAGCACTTTTGTCTGTTTATTAAATTTAACAATTTTTAAAAAATTCATTTCTCACTTTTTAAGAAGACTACTTGTAGTGACGAATCTTAAGAACCACCTCTTGCTTTGCTCCTCCCTCTATATTAGGGAAGGAAGCCAAGGGGAATTATTTTGGCCTGCACAGCAGCCCAACAGCAGGAGCAATAAAAAAGAAAGATCAAAGCTATGTTTTTCTCTCTTCGCAGATGCCTTTCAGACAGAAAAGTCAATATGTGAGTACCACAACTGTATTCCCAATATTCATATGGAAAATATCATAGCAAGCCTAGTAGCACCTTTAAAAACAAAAGAAGCCAAAAGCAGCTGCCAGTTTCTCTGGCTCAACTAACAAAAGCCGTCTCCATGAAACAGATTGCCCACAGCCTAGAACAGGGCTCCTCAAACTTCTTTGGCCTGCTGCTCCCTTTTAAGAAACAAAATTACTCAGTGCCCTTCTGGAAATCTACCTTCTTTTAAGTGAACAAACAGAAATATGAATTCTTTTATGTATCTATATTTCTACCTATGTCCTACAACATAGTAAAGAAATATGTTGTTGTAAATAAGACACCTTATTCATTCCACAACAAATGAAACACGTACGAACAGTTTTTAAAAACTGAACGAGGAAGTGGACTAGGCCCTGGCATTAAAAACCCATGAGGCGGACCGAGTGAAGCCGGCCGGCTCAGTCCGATCCACCCCAGGGATGCAGCTGGCGCCACAGTCCGCCTGCCATTGGCCAATGGGAAACACTGGCCTAGAAATTACTGGAACAAGGACCGGTCCTATTGTTGGGCACCATGAGGCAGGAGATTTTTGGTGCTATTAAGGGTGGTCAAGTTGTCAGTAATAAGCTTATTTTTTATAAAGAAGATGCCATCTGCCTTGCATGGAATGGCTTACATAGGTGGTTCTATGTGTTCTGATATCAACAACAGGACCCAGTTGGATGCACCATTCTCAAGATTACAACCACTGGGCAGAACAGGCACAATCAAAAGCCTTAGTAAAATAAAAATCTGTATGAAGATGAAACATATGCAAAAGCCATATAGTTTTAACTCACGTTTGGTCTTATTTCACACCACTTAGAGACGACTGTGATTAAGTGGTATACAAATTGTTAGAATAAAGTAAATACATAAATAACCCCAGAGATCTCGGATTGCAGTTGTTTATTACCATGTAATGAGTTGTGTAGGCAATACCTCATTCAAGATTGGCACAGAATCATAGAATTGTAGAGTTGGAAGGGACTCCAAGGGTCATCTAGTCCAAGCCCCTGTAATGCAGGAATCTCAGCTAAAGCATCCCTCCTAGATGGCCATCCAACCTCTGCTTAAAATCCTCCAAGGAAGGTTTCACAGCACACTAACCTGTAGTACTCACTAGAACACATATTGGCTCCTGAAGGGAAGTGATATGATTTGCCTTAAGGGACTCTGTCTATGCAAAGGGCCAATTCAGGAATGAATTCAATAACCAAGCAGACTCAGGGAGACACAAGGGCCTGCTGACTTCAAACCTTGCCTCACGGACCTTGCGGTCTTATTGTAAAGCAGCCTTTGCCACCCTGGTGCCTCCAGCTGCTTTGCACTACAACTCCCATCATCCCCAGCCAGGTCTGTGTGCTGGCTGGGGATGATGGGAGTTGTAGTTAAAAACATCTAGAGGGCACATGGTTGGCAAAGGCTGTTGTAATGTGAAAGACTTTGAACAATTCAAAGCTCTATAAATGCTAAATACTGTATTACAGTTCATTGTCATTGTTGCTAATTGCTTCTTTCCACATTAACGTGCTATACATTTGATGTTAGCCATGCTGAGCCCGGTTTTGGCCGGGGAGGGTGGGGTATAAATAATAATAATAATAATAATAATAAATTTATTATCTCCCTTCTATTCCTCTATCTTCTCTATCCTGTGAAGACACTTCTGCCCAATAACAGGACTTGCCCAGTCAGTTAAAGAATGCCACAAACACATTTGATCCTTTGTACAGACTCTGCCCCTCAGGTCTCAATTCAAAGACCATAGCATGTCTCTCTCTCTCTCTCTCTCTCTCTCTCTCTCTCTCTCTCTCTCTTTCCAGGAAAGGAGGAAAGCTGCACAATAACTGGGTTGCTCTTTGCCCCTGTTCCTGGGTACAGTGTGTGTACTCAGGGCTGGAGAGGAGCAGTTCTCTGTCTTCAGAGGAAAAGGCTCATTAAATGGCAAGTCACTGCCACAGCGGGAGAAGATAGCCTTGCTGGTGCTAGCCACTTTTTTGGACTCAAGTCCCAGTATGAGAGCACCAGCTATCCTGAAGGAATGCATCGGATCCCACACAAAGACAAGAAACAACTGGAAACCTAAACACTTTCAGCACATGGAACTCTTCTCTTGCTCCACCACATTAAGAAAGCAGCCATATGACTGGAAACACAATACAGGCGCCCCCCACTTACATGTGTTCTGCTTGCATGAAACCGCATACACAAGCGGTGCTGGGAAACAATTAAACAATTCAATTCAAGCACAGAAATGGTGGGAGAGAGAACCCACCCGCGAGGAGACCTTACCTGGAGCCCAAAGAGGATGTCAGTGAGGGCGGAGGAAGCCCCAAAGAGACTGGAGGCACAGCAGGGCTTTGTTTATGCTGCTCAGCTTCCCCGCCTAACAGCTGATATGTGGGGTAGTGCAGCAGCAGCAGCAGCAGCAGCCTCTTTCCCACGTGTCCTCCAGCCTCCTGCTGGTCCCAGAGGTTCAATTCTAGTTGTGGGTATTTTTGGATACAGCAGTTTTGGTATAGATTGGCAAAGAGGGTGTTTAAAGGGTATCCCCACTTTACTTATGCACGTGAGGCCCCAGGATGTAACCCCTGTGTAAGTGGGGGCTATACCTGTACTGCATTTTCCACATTTCTAAGCAAACAAACATAATACAGTTAAGAAAAAAAATAGTTGTACTATGCTGTAGTACTATCCTTCCTGTGTTTAATCTGAGCCAATGCACTAACAGAAATGAAACTGAACATAAAAGGGACAGTATTGTTTCCTCTTCTGCACAACTGAAAATTAATACACACAATGATATAATAGATGCAAGTGATGAATGTTTGCATCAATTACAAGTGATGAATACATCAATGTCTTTGTCTATATACATGCAAACCAACACTGCAAGCAGAATTATTAATAAGAGAGTCAAAAACAATTAATTTTGTAAGGTGGATTTTGTGGGTGCACATTCACATTTCCCATCTATAATTGCAATAATCAATACAAACCTCAAAGCCAAGCCAACTTCTTTCTATGATATAAATTAATTTTGACCAAGTAAAAGAAGGCTATATCTAGTTATGAAATGGAAATATTATTACTAAGTGCCAGAAGCAAAACACACCTTCCAATTAATCAACTAAAACAGTGGTGGTAACCAGCAAGCCATATGCCAAGTCCAGCAATGAGAGCATGCCATTCTATGCACATGAAAGCACCTTCTTGTGCCTATCATATTTTCCCCTGTAGTCCACTGAACCACACAGGCAGAAGTGTGGCATGGAGGAGGCAGGCCCCCAATTATGTGCCACAAATGCCTTTACTTGTGCCATAGATTGGCCATTCATGAACTAAAGAAGGGGTGGGGAACCTGGACTTGATCATTCCAGGCCAGGCTGTCTGGGGCTGATAGGAGTTGGAATTCACCAGCATCTGGAAGGTCATAGATTCCCTACCTATGGAATAATCTATCATTACGATATAGTGTTTGTAGCCTTAATATAAAATGCATTTTCAGTGTACCTAAAAAACCATTTAAAAGAGGTTTAAGATCAGCTTTGGGTCCAAACATAAAAACCTTAACTTTTTACAGCTGACAATCGTACAACTTTCTCTGAATTTGTATCTGCTTTTTATGCAGAAGGTCCCAGATTCAATCCCCGGAGCCTCTAGCCAGGGCTGGGACAGAACACTGCCTGGAACCCCAGAGAGTTACTGTCAGTCAGGATAGACAATACCGAGATGAGCCAGTATAAGGAAGATTCTTATGTTTCTAACATAATGGCCAAATTATTTTATCCAAGTAACTCAGCATTCATTTTTTAAAGAGAACAAAACAAATAAGAAGTGATTTAAATGTATAAATGTGGATCCTACCATTTGCACCTACGGTTCGTGCTTGGTTTTGGAAGGTTTTGGACCGAGTTCCATATTGCCCTGAATAGTGGCTTATCTGGGGGGATAATTCATTCCAAGTACCACTCTGAGTTGGATGGAGGTTTGCCTGGGTTTCTGCAGGGGGATTCAGACGCTGAGCCCAGGCCAAATCTAAGTCCTGGGGTTCTTCCTTCAGTTTTTCTCCTTCTTTGCCAACTCGCTGATATATTCTTCCAGTGCTGTCATTCAGTAATCTTCTCATCCCTGTAATTTGTTTTTTAATTTCCCGGCTTTCATCTCCTAGAGAAAACAGAGACACAGTTATCACAGTAAATTAGCAAAAATGGTAATGATACATGATACATATTACTATGTTTCAGAGGACTTTGAGGATGTCTACTTTCTGAAATGCATGCCGATTGGCATTGCACACACACATATGTATGCAGACAACTATTTTGTTGCCATGCATACTATGCAGATGTGATACTAAATACATGATCACCTACAACGTAGAGAGTATATGTTTGAGTCTGCATAAGAGTTAAAAAATATATGCACAGAACCATTTAAGTTAGTTCAAATTATCAAATACAGTGGTACCTTGGGTTAAGAACTTAATTTGTTCTGGAGGTCTGTTCTTAATTTAAGTTAGTTCAAATTATCAAGTACAGTGGTACCTCGGGTTAAGAACTTAATTCGTTCTGGAAGTCTGTTCTTAACCTGAAACTGTTCTTAACCTGAAGGACCACTTTAGCTAATGGGGCCTCCTGCTGCCGCTGCGCTGCCAGAGCACGATTTCTGTTCTCATCCTGAAGCAAAGTTCTTAACCCGAGGTACTATTTCTGGGTTAGCGGAGTCTGTAACCTGAAGTGTATGTAACCCGAGGTACCACTGTATTGCTTCAATGCCACAGCTGTTGGGATGTACAGTAAGTGATAATAAAACAGTTTAATAAAACCTGCTTAAAATGTCATAGTTCATAAAAAGTAGTCTATTATCATTACTAGTATCAAGCTTGAGAACTTAGCCCCTCATAGGATCAATCCATAGCAGCGAGTTGTTAGTTCAAAGGAATTTTATAATGATGGAGAAGATGGAATAACAACAAAATTAATAATAAAAGAAAATGTTACATTTTATTTAATACCTGCCTATTTAATACCCACAGACTAACGTATAGCCAGTCTCTGATGCATAGCAATTCAGAATGTGAAAAGGAAAAATATATATGAAAAATGCCACTGTTTCTAATGACAACTCTGCACATTTAAAAACAATTATGTACTCGGCATCATCTGAGTATTAATTTTATTTATGACTGTGCTTATTTCACACTGAATGTGTGCATGTTTGGAGCAGAATGTTGCCATTTTGCCCACTGAGGCATGCAAATACATTTCATTAGCAGTAGGAAAAGTCTGTAGCAAACCTATCAAGCATTTTAAGCATGAGTGGAAATGGATATTGAAAACAGACAGCATTCACATAAGATGAATTTTCTACACTGAAGTCACTTCCTTGCAGGACACATGCATTTTTCGCCACATAGAATCATAGAATAGAATCATAGAATCATAGAGTTGGAAGAGACCACAAGGGCCATCGAGTCCAACCCCCTGCCAAGCAGGAAACACCATCAGAGCACTCCTGACATATGGTTGTCAAGCCTCTGCTTAAAGACCTCCAAAGAAGGAGACTCCACCACACTCCTTGGCAGCAAATTCCACTGTCGAACAGCTCTTACTGTCAGGAAGTTCTTCCTAATGTTTAGGTGGAATCTTCTTTCTTGTAGTTTGGATCCATTGCTCCGTGTCCGCTTCTCTGGAGCAGCAGAAAACAACCTTTCTCCCTCCTCTATGTGACATCCTTTTATATATTTGAACATGGCTATCATATCACCCCTTAACCTCCTCTTCTCCAGGCGAAACATGCCCAGCTCCCTTAGCCATTCCTCATAAGGCATCGTTTCCAGGCCTTTGACCATTTTGGTTGCCCTCCTCTGGACACGTTCCAGTTTGTCAGTGTCCATACTTGGACTAAACAAACAAAATGCCAAAAGTCTAAGCTTCTGCTTTCACAGCTTTTCAGAGTGGCTGGTCAGCCTCCGGAACCTGATAGAAGTGCTGGGGAAGATCTAGGGAGAAAAGAGTCTACTGTGATCTGCAGAAATCCACCATCATAAGCAGCATAAACACTGTTGAAGCAGAAATGAGCAGCCCATCTGAGTCATATCTGGACCCTTTAATATATTGTACTCCCTTTGTTAATCTGCCCCCGTTACAATACTCTTTTTGTGGAGAGTACTGAACATGGATGGAGCTCTTAGCTAGATTGGACTCTATGGGGCTTTCCCTGGAAGATTCTGTGTGGGTGACAACAATAATACTCAGAATCTGTATAGCTCTTTCAACTATTCAAAGCACTTCACACACACTGTCTTCTGCAACAACCCTGTAAGGTAGGTCAGTAGTGTTATACCTATATTACCAATGTGCCTGAGGATGAGAGACAATGGCTTGCCTAAGGCCACCTAGGGCGTTCATAGCTGAGGCAAGAACACCAGGGACTTCCTAGATGGTGGCTCAGTTTCTTAGTGACTACGCTACACCGGCATGGGGCTGGAGGAGGTCTGCTCCTGGCAAATGAAACTGTGGCTTTGAGCCACATACTTGATGGCTCTGCCCTCTATTTGCAGCTGTTATTGATTTGTTGTTTATTGTATTTTAATGTTTGTTGTGAGCTGCCCTAAACATTTTATTGGAAAGGTTATATATTTTAAAACCTGCATCTGGAGGCTGATCTGGTATTAATGAGGGCAAACAAGCTGAAGTTTAATGCAGATTAGATGTGGAGGCGCTGTTTGTTGAGATTTCTGCTCATCTGGATGAAGGTATGTATACAACCCATTTTGATTAGACAAATTCATGGAGCAGAGGGCTGTCAGTAACTACTAGCCACAATGGCTATGCTCTACCTCCAAAGCTGGAGACACAGCAATGCTTCCGAACACCAGTTGTTGGAAACCACAGGAAGGGAGAGTGTTCTTGTGCTCTTATCTGCTCACTGGTTTCCCACAAGCATGTGGTTGGCCACTGTGAGAAGAGGATGCTGGACTAGATGGCCCATTGGCTGGATCCAGCTTGCTATTTTCATGTCCTTATCTGCTTAGGAAGGGCTGATTATCATAATCAGCATCACCACTGAACTAATGTGTGTTGTGCACAGCCCCTATGCAAACCTATATATGTCTGTCTATAGAGGTTGAATATCATCTCAATGGTCAATTACACTGCCCATCTTAACTGAATTTGGCTTCAGTTTTAGTTGCCTCTAGCACTGTTTAGCACTTCGCCTGTTGTAAATGAAAAGAAGAAATATGGTTGGGAGTCATCAGCAAACTCTGTATGACCATTTCCAATGCTTGCATGTAGATGTTAAATAGCATGGGAGATAAAAATGAACTCTGTAGAACTGTAAATAAAATGGATGTGAAAATGTTGGGCAAAAATCCCCCCACCTTTGCCCTCTGCAACTAACCCATGAGAGAGGAGTGGCAACCAGAGCACAGTATCTCCAACTCCCATCCATGCCAGGCTATCCAGAAGGATAACACAGTCCATGGTACTGAAAGCTGTTGAGAGCTCAAAGATAATAAAAAGGGTCACAATCCCTCTATCTTTCTGGCAAATGTCATCAACCAGTACAACCAAGGAAGTCTCAGTCCTAAAAACATTGTTATCTAGGAATGTCCTGAAATGTGGTGCCTCTGCACTCTTTTAGATGCTTTGGCCAAGATTACCAATGTCCAATAATCTGAAAGGTCCTAGGAAGAGTTGTCCAACAACTTCCTTCAAGGCAGCATGGGCCGTCCCCTCTCACAAGGTGGTATTGAGCTCCCCTTCAGCTAGATGTTATCAGCCAAGGTGGCCAAGGGTCAAGCACACTAAAGGTAGGTCAAACCCTTCCAAGCACTAGGTCACCCTCAGGCTGCAATAATTAAAAATGAGCTAAGCAATTGCAGCAAAATGGTGCTAGAAGAACTTCTGGTATTTGTACTGTTGTCAACCAGAAGTACAAGTCAAAGCAGAAGACAATGATTTTTACCTGGAAAATGCTTGGCAAATAATTAACAGTGGGCTGTACCAGGAGTTCCAATTCATCTCCCAGTTATCCAAATGTGTGAGCCTACTCAGTTATCTGGGAAAAGGCTCAACTGGATGACACTGAGCAGACACTGTGTCAGAGAAGACTTCTATTCTCCATCAGCCTTCAAATGGGTCTAGTCAGATTCATTCTGCATCTTCTTCCTCTTGCATTCAAGTTGTCTTTGCAACTGTTTCATCACCACAAGCTCCCCAGAATGCCAAGGGTCAGATCACTACAATATTATGTATAGTAGCAATTGTGTCTGTTAACAGAGCCACTTCAGCATTCCACAGATCAAAGAGAGCACAGCAAAACTGCCAGCCCTTTTGGCTGGAAAGTATAGTGGTGGAACTATAAGGAAACCACCTTGCTCCATCAGTTTCCAAAGGCAAACCAATCTAAATGGGCTCCTATCCCTACAAGGAATCAGAAGCACCAACAGCTTAAGCCACCTTCGGGTATAGGGCGGTATGCAAATTGAGTAAATAAATAAAAATAAATTAAATAAACAGCTTAAACTCAGTGGCCTATGCTGGTAAAATCTTTCTTACAGAGCTCCATAAGAGAGCTGGTGAAATAGACCAAACTAATGTACAAACTAATGTACAGAACATGTTTTAACACTGTGAAGTAGTGCCTAGTATCGTTCCCAACACATCTGGTAACGCCTTTGTCAGGGAACCCTCCCATGCACTATTTACTCTGACAGGTAAATGCTTCCTTGTATCTATTATCCAGCAAGAAGAGCCTTATTTCCAAAATGTCACCTTAAGCAGAACAGAACTACAATACAATTCAGTGCCAGAACAACGGTTTCATATGCACCAGGCCCCAGGTTTAATCTCCAGCATCTCCAGAGTCGGCTGGGGAAGACTTCTGCCTGAAGACCTGGAAAGCCACTGCCAGTCAGTGTAGGCAATACTGAGCTAAATGGACCAATGACTTGACTCAGTCTAATGGACCAATGGGCTGACTCCTATGTTCCTTCCAATGAGTGTTCTGTGTAGTTAGAATCATTGCTCTATTTATTTCTCATTAGAGGAATTGAACATGGTTACTCTGACCCTGATTAATTTTGTTGATCTTTCCCTATTTTGGAGAAGTGTACTGTATAATTGGATACCAGTGTTGTCTTCTCTTCCACCAAGGATATCAGAACATTGCTGATCTCCTTGAATAATATTTGCAGGCCAGTTCATAGCATTTCAAGGCCTGAAGATGTTCAACATGCACATAAGCCTCAATACAGGCTTCCTTCCACAAGTAGGAAATTTAGCAATAAAAAACACAATATTCATCTTTTTCATAGTATCATTGACACAGCAATTTACCAATAATTAAGTCAAAATAAATAAATAAAAATTAAAAAATTGTCCCATAGCACCTTAGAGTGTCCCATAGCACCTTAGAGTGAAGAATATGAAAGCTTATACCCACAACAAACTTAGTTGGTCTCTAAGGTGCTACGGGACAATTTTTTGATTTTGATTTATTTATTTCGACTGCATCAGACCAACATGGCTACCTACCTGAACCAATAATTAAGGACAGTGAACTTTTTTACATTGGGGTCCGAGTGATATGCCTACTACATACAGTGGTACCTCGGGTTAAGTACTTAATTTGTTCCGGAGGTCCGTTCTTAACCTGAAACTGTTCTTAACCTGAAGCACCACTTTAGCTAATGCGGCCTCCTGCTGCAGCCACGCCGCCGGAGCACGATTTCTGTTCTCATCTTGAAGCAAAGTTCTTAACCTGAAGCACTATTTCTGGGTTAGCGGAGTCTGTAACCTGAAGCATATGTAACCTGAGGTACCACTGTAATTTGGAATTTGGCCCCAAGATTTCAGAAAATATCGCTAGTGTGTTTGACCCAACACTTACATAAGCAATTGTAGCTATTAAAAGAGAAGATGAAAGTAAATTTAATAATATGGACTGCTAATTTTTTTCTGATTGACTATGGTTAAAAATATTGTTTTGAGGACAATGTGCTTTGAGGGTACACATCCTATACTCATTTACTTGGGAGTAAACCTCACTGTATGAGGGACGTGGGTGGTGCTGTGGTCTAAACCACTGAGCCTCTTGGGCTTGCCGATCAGAAGGTTGGCGGTTCGAATCCCCATGACGGGGTGAGCTCCCTTTGCTTGGTCCCAGCTCCTGCCAACCTAGCAGTTCGAAAGCACGCCAAAACAAAGTGCAAGTAGATAAATAGGTACCGCTCCAGCTGGAAGGTAAATGGCGTTTCCGTGCGCTGCTCTGGTTTCAGTGTTCTGTTGCGCCAGAAGCGGCTTAGTCATACTGGCCACATGACCTGAAAAACTGTCTGCGGACAACGCTGGCTTCCTCGGCCTGTAAAGTGAGATGAGCGCCACAACCCCAGAGTCATTCGCGACTGGACTTAACTGTCAGGGGTCCTTTACCTTTTTACCTTTTTAAACCTCATTGTACTTTATAGGATTTACTTCCAAATAAACATGTATAGAATTTCACGATCATTTACACTATATAGCCCTTCCCTACTGCAAGCCCACTTCACTCATTTTATTCTGGCAAAATGAAGTTATTGGTCTACCAAAATCTAATTCATCAAAACAAAAATGTAGTAAAACACACAGACACCTGCACTACAGCATATTTCAGTCCTACTTTATATCAGCCATAAACATCTCTGTTTTCTGCACCTCTTCAAAATAAATTCACACTGAAGACTGCACACAGTGTAGCATTCAATTTTATGAAACTATAAAGTTCTTCATTGTTAATTACACAGATAAATGTCTCATCACACATTTGGTTACCAGGATTGCATAATTAGTTTTCTACATTAACCTTTCAAAAGCAGAATCTCAACTGCAAGTTTAAAACCATTGTAAAAATTGTTTACAACAGACCTATGTTTCCCTGTGCTTCTGGAAAGCAATGCATTCCACAGAAGGCAGAGGAAAGCAATATAAGCATGATGACTCTTAAGAACTTTTAGCAATGGAGGGAGGTTGATAGCTCTATGGAGTCTTTTTTGGGAGACAAAAATCTGAAACCCATTAAATAAAGTAAAATAAATTCACACCTTGCTATGCTATGCCAAAATAACCCTTAACACTATGGACAAAGCCAAAGGCCTACCACAAGCGACGTAAAAAAAGATGCTTCAAATGTTAAAACCACAAACAGAGAACAGAACCAATGCACCTTTGCGGGTTTGCATAACAGATTCAGAAATGTTTATCTACCCTCATATCTTACCATGCCGCTGATGTCACAGTACGTGAGTCTCTGGTGACAGTCACACTTTCTCCAACACAGCCATTTTACCAGACCCAGCAGGGGACTTTGTGAGACCACTGCACAGCACAACATTGGAGGGAAGTAGCTCATGTGTAATAAGAGTAGCTGTTGCCCCACTTGAAGGATCCGTGTAGCAGCAATGAATGAAATTAAAGAATTCTGTTTACAGCAGTGAGGCACTGAATTCTGCAGTGTCTGATTCTTCTCCATAGGAGAACTTAAGCACTTTTATGGTTAACTGTTTAAAATCTTTGGCATTAAGCAATAAATATGTTTTATAAGATGGATCAAGAGCAGCTAGGATTCTTCTGCATTACAGCAGGTATGAGCAGTTGAACTATAGGGGGTCAGAATCATAGTAGGGGCAATCATGACAGTTATGAGCAATTCACTGATAAAGTCCTATCAAGCTTCAGTTAGGAAGACAATAATATTTCATTATTTTCTTTACACATTTTGGACAGCTGATTTAATTTAATTTGGCTGTGGTTAAGATAAGTGCCATGTTTGCAGAGGTGAAGGGACATTATATTAAGACAACACATTAATCCCACCCATGGCCAAAGCAAAACCAAACAAATAGTGGCTTTCTGGAAATTGAATTTCTGTTATCCAGATGTCAAAGATGTAATGCCCCAATTACACAAACTATTGCCAGTGAAGCATGCCAGCAAATATGCAATGTAAATGGGTTGAGCACAGAGCTGCAAACTACATAGTCAGCATCTTGTTCTCTGGGTGAGTGATAATTAGCATTGTGGGTAGACACTAATAAACATTTATGTCTCAAATTACAGCATTTTTAGCAAATGTTAATAAAAGATATGCTGGCAATTGGCAAAACAGAAAGACATTTGAAAAGAACATCCTATAAAACAGTGGCAAGTACTTCCTATAGGCATGCAGTAATTCTCACCCACCCACATGCTTCCTGCCACAAATGTGCCATTTGGAAATTAATCAACGTGAGAACATACCTAAATAAAATTGTTGCGCTTCTTTGGCCTCCCCATTAACATCATTACTATAGTCAGGGATCTTGTATGCCTCATGGTGATAATCTGGAATTAAAAATAGGGAGATGAATTAGAATTCAAGTGATCTGGAAAAAAATGAACACTGAATACGATGTTACAATTTTATCTCATAATCTCCCAATGTATCTGCTTTTTTATTCAATGCACATCTGATCAGTCAATGAAAACGTGCTCTGTGTCAGCCCTCCCTAAAAACAAATAAAGCCCTCTGCTTTTGCTGAAGGCACTTAACCAAAATATTTTCCATATTTCAGCAAACAGCTATGTCTGGGGGTTCACTTGTGGTGTTCATTTTCACAATAAATTAATATAGCAGACACCAACTATCTGGAGTGTTGTCTTTTGCTGTGTCTTTCAGAATGCATGGGAGATTTTGACAGAAATGAAAAGTGTGCCATCCTTACAGACAAATAGAAATTTGTAAGTCTTGCCTGATGACAAACCTTTTAGCTCTTTGGCCTTTTATCTGGGAAGGTTGCCAATGAATTCTAAAGGGAACAGATCAGGCTCTACGAATGGAAATTAATAAAAAATTTCAAATAAAACTGAATACATACAATGAATGTAGAAGCTCCCTTTTTATCACAACTACATAGTGAATAAGTAATAATACCTATGCAGGCACAAACAGGCAGGCATATGCAAGCAGAAAAAAGGAATTATGGCAGGCATTTATAGGAAGACTATCTTCCTGGCTTTTGTTTCTGACCCTACTGTAAGCACACTCTGTCCTTAGGCTTGCAGTTGACAGATTAAATATTCAGAAATAAGGAATCTTCAGTAACAGTGGAGTCTGGTATAAGGAATATCCATTACATCCAATGGAAGTGTGATCTAATGTCAGAACAAAACTAGTTTATTGACAATCTATCTCCTCTATGCGAAAATATCTGAGAAATCAAATGATGGGTCCCTAATCCCTGCTCTCATCAGCAAAGGTTAGCGGTGACTGGGATAATTCAGACAGTAGAGCATGAGACTCTTTAATTTCAGGGTCATGGGTTCAAGCCCTCCCCCCCATTGAGACTAGATGACCTGACCCTTGTGGTCCCTTTCAACCCTACAATTCTATCATTCCATGACTGAGTTTGCCTTGAGTGACTACTCAAGATGTTTACTTATGGAGGAGACACCACGTTTTGCATGTTTGTTCTTCTCACTGCTATAGAGCAGGAGGTTCACAAGCTTCGTTGCGCTGAGTCTCTTCAAAGTAAGAAAACAACTAGACAGATGGTTCTTCTAGCAGGGCTCACACTTGTCCTCAGTTCAGAGGCCAGCAATCAAAAAATGATTGAGGGTGTTAGTCTGCATGAACTCACAGAATGCTTTGAAGTCTCTGCGAGACAGACCCTAGGGAATAAAAAGGTTACACAAAAGAGCTATCGTCCTCATAGGAGTGATCACAAACACAAGGGATAAGGCATTACAAATCTAGCACATTACATTAAATTATTGGCACTTAGCCTACTGGCCCAACCTAAGATAAAAAAGGCCACAGCAGAAATAGAGAATATGAGCAACTTAAGGGTAAGACAAAGAGTGGTATACCCTGAGTTCAAATCCTACTTCAGCAATCTATTCACCTGGGGGGGGTGCTTTAGGCAAGATACTACCTGCCAACCTCAGCCTTTCATCCATGGCAATAAGAATATTGCCTGCCTTGCAGGGATGTTGTAAGAGTCTAGGAGAAAGACTACATAAACTCCAACTCTTATTAAGTTCTAGAATAAGAAAGTGTAAAATTAATTCTGGAGACGTTTACTGAGACGTCAGTCCCACTGCCTTCAAAGGAAATGATTTCCAAGTGAGAATGCAAAAACTGACAGCCTAACTCATTTTTACAGCCTAATCCTAAGCACATTTTTGCAACAGGATTTATGTGGTCTTAGGGAAGTGTTATGCACAAAAGGAGATGTATATATTTAAAGATCCCAGGGTCCCTGGAATTGATGGTTTCTTCTGTTCCCTGCCTGAAATAACCACGCTGTTATTCTTTAGTATCAAAATGCCCATCATTAGGGTGCCACGGGCATACACAGAGGTGGGGAGCTGCACTGCAAGGGCCACTAAGGGATGAGTACCTGCTTATGCTATTCCCACCACTGAGGGCTGAGTCACCAGTGTCAGCGTCCCCAAAGCCAGGATTTTACATTTCCTTATTACAAACGTATGCAAACCACTCAGCTTATGTGAAAGAAAATCAACAGATGCACTTGAGGACACCACCATGGTAGTGGTAAACCTGCCCTTCGCTGATGGGAGTTCCAGCCTGTGCAAGTCCTGCCTGTATAGTCCATAGAGCTGCTCCTTCATCTACATCGTCTCATGGTGGTTGTTTATTCATCACACGAGCGTGTACCACAGGGGTCACCAACCCAATGCCTGCAGATACCACGGCACCTACAAGGTTTTAACTGGTGAGCTCTTTTTAAAAAAGAAGTAAGTCTCTTTCTTCCCTAGAAAGTAAGTTATGGGACAAAATGTGAAGGTACCTTCTAAACAATTTCTGTGAAATGGCAGTGAGTGTGGTGTGGCCACTTTGTACATTTTTCCTGGTACTAAGAAATGTTCTCTGTTGTTAGACAGAAACAGCATCACTTGGTGGGGGGGGGGGAGAGGGAGGTGGGTTCTACACAATGAAGGGCAGTAGGACAGAGGCAGGCCTGTGCAGAGCTTGTCTGAGGCCTGGGGCAGGAGTCTTGTCCATGAGACGCTCTACGCTAGTACACAGTAATGCAGGTCCATATTTTAGTATTGAAGGCCTGCAGTGAATACAGTTACACCCATTAAGTCTCTGGGCAGCTGGGAAGCCCAGGGCATTCTTGGCAATGCAGCATAAGCCCATTAGGCCCCTGGCAGGACCCCCTGGTATACTTAGCTCTTTGAGGTCCAGGGCAGGAGTACCCAGTTGCCCCCCAACCCTCTGTACGGGCCTGGAAAAAGCTAGTTTCCCATAGTAAGTGGAATGTCTCCAAGGGGAGCTGTCCCCCTTATTTTGTGTTGTGCCATGCTCCCCATGGCAGCCATTTTGTGTTATGCCTTCCCCCACCCCAGCAGTTATTCTGTGGCTGGCATCCCAGAACTCTCTCAAAATTCAAAAATTGTGTCCACCGGTCCAAAGAGGCTGCCTATCCCTGGTGCAACAGAACGTTGGGAACTGGGTTTTAGACAAGAGAAACAGAGCGACCAGATCCATTACTTGAATCTTGCTAGACAGGAGCACACGATCCATTCAGACATTTGCACTGGGGAGAAAGGAATGGAACTAAGAGTCTGCACTATGTTCACAATTTCTAGCTTTCACCAAGGCAATATGGATTGCTAAACTCTAAATGCAATTTTGAAATAAAGATTTAATATTACAATAAGTGAGCACACAGCCCCTGAGCCAAATGCAATACACAATATAGTCTTCCTTGGCTAGGAAACATGCCTGAACTGAAAAAAATATAACAAGTAACTACAGTTTGTCCCCAAAAGTTCAGAACAGACTCTTCTGTTTTTTAGATTTTAAAATAAATTAATGCTTCTACTTGAAATTATTATTAGATTTAGGGCCTGGTTCAAGATTCTAAATATCTGGGCATGCGGACACCACTGGTCTCTCTATATGAATGTAATACAGGAGTATCCTAATGTATCAAAATCACAATGCACTAGGCACTGACTGCACAACCTCCATTCATTCCAACTGGGCTCATGTAGCATCCAGTGTTCCCACTGAAACTAATGCTATGCTAACCTGATATTGGCGAGAGTCACAATCATATACAATTAATTGAAGCAGGAGTTCCAGGACGGCAGAGTACTACAGATACTATAAACTTGGTTTAATTCCAGATAATCTTCTAGCATTTATATCATTTTGTCCCTAATCAGATACAATAAATAAAATGTGAGCCTCCTGAACATCACCAATTTGTAAAATGGCTTGTTGCTTACACTGATACTTAGAGACCACATTCTCCAGGTTTATGAAGTTTAACCTCCAAGTTCATCTGGGTGTCAGAGACATTCTCAATGATTTTCCCCACACCTGTGGAACTCACGTCCTCTGCATTAATTATGAGTCTGAGAAGACTTGCAATACCTTCTCTTCGCTGGGACAAGTGCTAATCCTTTACTCTATCCCTTGGGCTGGGTTTCAATAATAAAAAAGATTCATATTATAATACTTAAGAAGGTTCACTAGACTTTATGCTTCAAACAATGCAACAGAAGACAATACGGGTGTATGATTTATGACTCAACCAATGAGACTGACAGGCAATACCAACAGACAAGACTCAACACACAGTCATTTGGGGGGAAGTTTCAGCAAAGATTTATGCCACCCTTTTGGCATAATGATGACATTGAGCCACCATACGCCATTCTTTCTGGTGTGGCAACCATTCATGTGATTTTTTTGCTCGTTTCCAACCTGTGCTGGTACTGCAGTTTAACATGTCCTCGGAACCTTTATCTTAAGCCCAGACTCCATGAGCAGTAATCACATTGAATGTTTAAAATAGTTGTTTTTAACTGTTTTTACCTATAATTTAATTGTTTTATTCTTTTTGTAAACTGCTCTGAAGTTTTTTTTACAATCAAGCAGTATATAAATGTTATGAAAATAAATACAAACATATAAAATTGTCAAAGTATCAAGGAGGACTATGCATAACATTCAATTAAGTTTTACTCAGAGGAGATATATTGAAATTAATGGACCTAACGTAGCCACAGTCATTAATTTAAATAGATCTACTCTAAGTAAAACTTAGGTGAATACTACCCTACCCAACTACTGTGTCAAAATAGGAAATCAGTACTGCATCCAATACAAATAAATCATGAACAGTTTGAGTCACATGAGTGTTAAGTTTAAAAGCTGTAATATATAGTAAACTTCACATAATATAATAATTAGCAGTATCCTGTCTGTCATACTCTCCTTTCCCTGGGATATTATAGTCCAGGGCCTATCAGATCCATGACAGCAAATAAGACTTCTCTGTATTCCTGATGTTATGATTCGAGCAGAAGGAACAGGCCTATTGCTAAGGAAACACCAACTAGGGAAACATCAACTACAGTGGAAACAAATCCTCATATCAGTCAAATAAAAACAACAGCTCAGAAGTGTCAGATGAACCACACACTTTCTAAAATTGTAAATTTTAAAACTGCTTTGTGCACCATCTACTTTTTTTTTTTTAAATCAAAACATACACGCTTCAATAGGGAAAAGAAACCATTTGTAGAACTGGAGGTCAGATAAAATGCTATGTTGAATATTTTAACCCCTGAGCACTGAACGTAATTTGCATTTACTTCTTATTGCTGAGGACTTATTTGATTGAATCTTATCTTATGGAAACGTATGCGTTCAGCTACTTTTATATACTATAACTTAAGTATAGTTGAAAGGCAAGAAGTTCTGAAACAAATCAGTCCAATTTTCACTGTGTGACAGTTCCCTTATATTAGTCTTTGCTTGTTACTGTCCAACAGTACAGCAATCACGCTATAAGCACAACCCTTTGGTTAAAAAAGTAAACTTCAAGAATGTGTTGCCATAGGCTTAAAAAAAAGAGAAAACCAACATTATTTACGTTATCTATTCCTTCTCAGTTCTTTATTTCAGAAACCTTATACTGTATCCAATTTCCACCAGAAATGACAAGTTAAAGAAGAGTGTCTGAATTATTTAATGATGAACTATCAAATAAGAAGAAGAGTAACAGCAGCACTACCCTCTAAATTACCTGCCCTCAACTTATCATGCAGGGCACATACGCAGTTCATGGAGATATTTGCGTTCAGTGCTAAGGACCTTCTCCAGCCATGTTTTAAAGTCAAATGAAATAAGAGTACAAACCTCCCAAGGAGAACACCTGTTATACAACACCAAGGATCGATCCATCTATCTAGCTAGCTAGCTATCTATCCACACACACCCCTTAGACGAAAGTGAAAGGGCACATTTTTTACACATTTCCTGCCATTATTCTGCTTAGAGATCCGCATTCCTCTTCCGAGGAGCTCAAACGGGAAGGACAAGTTGCCTGCCCCCCCCCCGCCCCGCGCCCGATCCTGTGTGATTTCATGGGCTGCCTTGTGGACGCGTGTGCTGAAGGCAACCTCCGCCAAGCTCCGCGTCTCAATGCGTGTCTGGGCACAATCGGTCCATAAGGAAAGGGAGAAACAAAGCTGAAGACAGCAAGCGCACCGAGAGGAATTCAGTACTTAAAGAAGAAAGAAACAGGTCCCCCTCTCCCCAAGTACGAATGTTTCGTTATGTCCCTGATTTGAGCCTTTATTTTTCTTTTAAAAAGGCATTCACCGCGAAACAAGACCTAACTTTATCATTATGTGTCTCATCCGACCGAGGAAAAAAGTGTCCATTTTATTAAAATGGAGAAGGAGAAGACTCCCCCCCCCGCCATACACAACACACACGCAGTGCTTCCAGCGTTAATACAATTAGGGAGTTTAAATATTGAGAGGCGGACAGAAGGGAATGGCACATATTTCATAACATCCTGCTCTTCCTCTAGATTTGCACATGAAGTCTCCTTCTCCCCAGAGACGAGCACAAATCCCACACCAAGAAGAGCACACCAGCACACTCGCACACCGTACCTTGATTGATCAGTTTAAAGCTTTGGGATTTCCTGCTTCTCTTCCTCTCCGTAAACTCCATGGTGTGGGAGCAAAGGCGAGCGAGGGGAGGAGGCGGGCAGGCCGGCGGCGGCGGCGGCGGCGAGGAGGAAGGAGGGCTGCCAGGCGGAGGGAGAGCGCGGCGCGCGGCAGCAGCAGCAGCAGCCGCCCCACAAGACGAGCAAGGGCCGCCTCTCCCGGCAGCCCGAGACAAGCGGGAGGCGCCGGAGAAAGAGGAGCAGTTCGGGGCGCGGGGCAACTTGGCTCCGGACTCCCCGCCGCCGCCGCCCAGCCCGTTCCAAACTTTGGCGAGGGGCTGCTGGCCGGCCGTCCCTCCTCTCCCGCCGCGTCGCCTGGCGAGGAGGGCAGAGGCGCGCCTGGCCGGCTTCGGCGGGGGCCTGGGGCCAAGCGGCGGAGGCGGAAGCGGCGGCGGCGGCGGCGCCTGGGATCCCGCTGCCACCTGCTGGGGAAAGCCCAGGCCAGGCGCGCCCCGCGGCGGATGTGACAGGCGGGCCGGCGGGCCGCCACCCCGAGGCCGGCTCGCGAGCGCGCGCCACGCCGAGGACCGGGCGGGCAGGCGGAGGGAGAGGCGGGGAGAGCCGCGTCCTGCTTGCTAATGGAGGAGGCGGCGCCGCCGCGGCGGGTCTCTCGCCGGCGCTGCCTGCCCTCCTCCCGCGCGGGGCGCCCGGCAAGGGGGCGTGGGGCTGTCGCGGCGGCCAGCCGAGAAGCGCCATTTTGTGCCCTCCCCCCTCGGCCTCTCGCTCCTCCGACAGGCCCCCGCCGCCGCCCCCGCCGCCTCTCGCCCGCTCGCTCCCTGGGCGCCCACGCTCCTTCCCGGTGGCGGCGGCGGCGGCGGCGCGTGAGGAGACCGTGGCGGGGCGAAGAAGACGCGCGCGTCTCTCCATAAGCAAATGGCCTCCTCGTCCCTCACGGCGCGCCGCCGAGACCTCTTGGCCAGGCCTGCCGGGCGAAGGGGCCGCCGGGGCAGCTGACGGGAGGACGGGAGCGGGGCTCCGCGGGGAAAGCGCGCCTTGGAATGGCGAACACCCCCCAAAAAGAAAGAGAGCCCCCGAGGGCACCGCAGTGAAGGAAAAGGAGGAGAAACGCGCAGGCAGTTCTGGGGGGGGGCGGAATCGGCGGGGGGAAATGCTCGTCGCAAAATAGAGGCGCACACATAACTTCCTACAGCAAGCACAATTCCTTCTCCACGAGTATAATTAGAGCAAAATCAGATTTAAAAGATAAGGAGCGCTAATTCGTCGGAGCCCGGAAGCATCTCGTGGCGGGCGGCAGAGGCCTCCGCTCCAGAGCTCCTTGCTCGGCTTTTGTGTGTCAGGTGGATTTTGCAACCGCTGGGCCGGTCAGAAGATAGGTTTAGACAACATGACTAAGAAATACCGTATGCATTTATTCCTAAATTGCTCGTCAAAAATAGCTATTATTTCTACCAAGCATATTCTTCAAGTACTGCAGATTACTTCGAAGCAAGCAAAAACAAGGTCTGTGGCGCCTTAAAGACTAACAAATTCAACAGCAAGTCAAGTAGATTATTCTATTAAAAAATGAACAGAAAACTTCACTATTTGGCCCAAGATTTACATTTCTGTGTATAAGACAATGTTTTTTGCCCATTCTTTTTGACCCAAATTGGGTGTTGTCTTATACACGAATGGGGAATGCACAAGGGTAAAACACACACGCACTAATGACCTGTCTGTGACTGCCATGAAGAAGCCGCCAGAACCACAAATTATTTCACCTGGCGCTCTTTTGGGGGATGCTGGCCCTCGCCTGCTGCTGCTGCCTCGTCCTCAACAACTTTGGCCAACTTCCCCCAAGAAAGCTCAACAAAGCAAGGGTGCCTTGCAGGTCGGAGCTCCACTGCTGCTTCTGCCAACCGTCACAGGCTGTTTAAAGTATTGATTTATTAATTTTGGGTTCAAAAAAATAGGGGTCGTCTTATACATGGAAAAATACTGTAAATCAACCTATGACAAATCCGTAACAATGTTCATTTCATATTTTATAAACTCAAGTAGGACACATGCCAAGTAGTTACATTTTGGTTGGAGGCTTCATATGTATTGTTCTTTAGCTATGTATTTTCAATATTGCAACCACTGAAATACACTTGATTGGAATATCTCTTTATTTTTTGCATTGAACATTTATATTGGATTGGTGAATTTTAAAATGAAAGAATAAACAGTTACTGCTATGCTATTTTTTTTGGACTTTAGACACCAATCAAGAAGGGTTAAGAAATGTAGTTGCGGCTGTTGTTATTAATAGACATTTTACAAGTTTTAGTGAACAAAGAAAAGAAATGACTGCATCAATGAAGGGACAGTTTTAAACATTCTTAACGCAACAAGTACAGTGTTACACTGCACAGTTAATAAGCAGCATAAATTATGTTGTTAATTTGTGATACAGCATCCAGGTTTTCCTTCTTCACAGTTCTTACCATCTTGCTTTTCTTTAAAAGGGGGCAGGGAGGGAAAGTTTGCTCTTATCTTTCCCCGCACTGCCAAGGTGCGGAACCTTTTGCAATCCAAGGGCTGGATACCCTTTTGAGTGAGGGAGGCGGATGGCACTGTGGTCTAAACCACTGAGCCTCTTGGGCTTGACGGTTTGAACCCACACAGTGGGGTGAGCCTCTGTTGTTTTGTTGTCAAAAAATTATTAATTTTCCACATTTATAACAAACATAACATATAAAACACACAAAACACATCACAATACTAAAGAAAAAAACAAAACAAAAATATAAACACATTACTTCAAAAACCCCATTTAACTTTCATTGCTTAGTGACTTCCTCAAATCCCCCCTTACTGAATTTCATTGTACCACCTTGTAACAGTTCTCCAAAATCATATTTCTAATAAAATTAACTCCTTCAATTTACTATCTTCTTCTCTTTTCTTAATGATCTAAATCCATAATGTTTTACAGTTCATTCTTATTCTAATCCTAAGCCTGTTTGATACTTTCAAGTGACTTCTAATTATCTTTTGTTACAATATTTGGCTAAATAGTCTTTGAATTTCTTCCATTCTTCTTGATAATCCTCTTCTTTCTGATCGCGGATTCTTCCAATCAGGTCGGCCATCTCCAAAAAGTCCAACATCTTCATCTGCCATTCTGGAGCCTCTGTTGTTTTGTCCCAGCTCCTGCCAACATTCGGAAGCATACGAGTGCCGGTAGATAGATACTACTGTGGCGGGAAAGTAAACAGTGTTTCCTTGTGCATGGACTCTGGCACTTGTCAGTGTCCTGTTGTGTCCCGTTGCACCAGAAGCAGTTTAGTCATGCTGGCCACATGACCTGGAAAAGCTTTGTTCAGACAAACACCGGCTCCCTCGGCCTGAAAAGCGAGATGAGCGTGGCACCCCATAGTGCTTTGACTGGACTTAACCATCCAGGGGTCCTCTACCTTACCTTTCCCTTTGAGGCAGCTTTCTGGAAGCAACAGGCAAGTTGCTGGAAGCAACAGGCAAGTGATGGATGAGGTGAGAGCCAAAAGTGTGAAGCCCCATGAATGTGAATTACCCCATTGCACTTTATTAGGTATATATTTGCTAAAATTTCTGTGCCACTAACATTGAGGAGGAAGATATGGCAGTAAACAGTCGTGCCCATCTTAAGTCCTCAGAGCTGGCCACAGGGGGTTGACTGGGTGGATCCAGGAAGTGAACAATACTTCAAAGGGAAGTACCACTTGTATTGAAGGAGTAGAACATCCCCCTTTGAGGTGCTTCACCTTCAGGCATGCTTGGAGAAAACTAATTACTTGGATCCATTCCAGTCTGGCTTCACCTTGCCTTGGTCACCCTGACTGACATTCGTTGGGAGAGGGGAGAGTATTTCATACATTGAAAAAAGAACATTTGGACTTGATCTGTTTACAAGAGACACATGTGACAAGGCTGCATCGGAAAATTTTGATAAACAAAAGATTGGGAGAAGAATTTATTTCATCGGACAATGTGAAAAAAAGAGGAGTAGTACTCTATGCGAAGGAAAGCCTGTCACCAAAATTTATATTTAAAGATGACCAAGGAAGATATATAGCAATTGAAATTCAGTTTCAAGGACAGAAGTTTTTGATATTAGGTGTCTATGCACCAAATGAGGGAAAATCAGAATTCTTCAAAAAACTGCACGAAACCCTCCTGGATTATTTGGATTACAACATTATCTTGATGGGAGATATGAATGGAGTAGTGTCTACAAATATGGATAAAGCCCAAAGACAAACGGTGACGAAAGATGGAAGACTACCAAAGACATTTTTTGAAATGACTGACAATATGGATCTTGTGGATATTTGGCGAATAAAGAACCCCTTGGAAAGAGAAGGAACCTTCTTCTCAGAAGCAAATATGACATGGACAAGAATAGACCAAATCTGGATAACTAGAGGACTGGCCCCTAAGATAAAAAAAGCGGTGATTTGCCCGAAAATTTGCTCTGATCATAATCCAGTAAAGATTGAAATGATATCAACGCCAATTGGAGCTTTTAGATGGAGGATGAATGACTCCTTGTTTAGGAATGAGGTAATTATTAAAAAGGCCCAGAAAAACTTGAGAGACTATTTTGAGATAAATATGAACACTACGACTGAAAAAAGAGTGATTTGGGATGCCAGCAAAGCGGTGATGAGAGGATTTCTGATACAACAAAATGCAATTAGGAAAAGATATCAAAATGAGAAGAGAGAAAAAATTCTGGAGAAAATTAAGGATGGAGAAAAAAGACTGAGGGCGAAACCGAACTCACAGGAGATCTTAAAAGAGATAAAGTTATACCAAGTACAATATATGAAATTGATGAATCAGGAGATAGAATGGAAGGTTAAACAGATGAAACAAAAGACCTTCGAATCGGCAAACAAATGTGGGAAATTACTGGCAAATGGGGAGTGTGGACCGACTCTACTTGTCCTTGATCTCTCTGTTCAGCTTTTGATACTGTCAGGGAGGTTGGAGCATTGTTCTTCAGCTCCTATCTTTAGCGCTGTTTCCAGAAAGTCATCATGGGACACCACTGTTCAGCAACTGTGGTGTCCCGAAGGGTTTAATCTCTCTCCCCCCCCACCCCACTATTTAACACCTATACGAAGCCTCTGGGACATGTCATCAGGAAATTTGGAGTAAGTGTGGGAAAAGATTTATAATGAATTGAAAAAAATGTTGAAATATACATTTATAAGAATGTATAGAAACCAGAGGCCTTTCTTCTTGGAATAGCAGGTTTGGAATTTTTGTATGCCACAACTGCTGCTCGAACTTTACTAGCTAAAAAGTGGAAAACGCAAGAACTACCAACGGTGGAAGAATGGCAGATGAAGATGATGGATTTTTCAGAGCTAGCTGACCTAACCGGAAGAGTCCGCGACCAGGAGGAGGAGGAGTATCAGGAAGAATGGACTAAATTTAATGATTACTTAGTTAAATATTTCAAGTTAAATTAATTGGAAACACCTTGGAAACTCAATGGGCTTAGGATTTTATATAAGTTAAGTGATGAATTAATATGTTTAATTTCAAAACGAAAAGATCTAAGGATGTTAATGTTCAAGTTAAACTTTATAAGAACTGTGAATTGGAAAACCGTTAAAAGGATATGCATTGAAATTCCACCAAGGGGAAGCGAGGAAGTCACTTAAGAATATATATAAGTGCAATTTTTAATAAGGTTATGATTTATGTTGGTTTGTTTTATGTGTTTGTTTGTTTATAATTCTGTGAAAACCAATAAAAAACTTTTTTTGGGGGGAAAAAAGGAAATTTGGAGTAAAGTGTCATCAGTACATGGATGACACGCTGTAGGCCGGCTCTCTCTGTTCTGTCTGAATTGGGAGTGACTTATGGTGGTGAAGAGCCAATAAATTGATGGTGGATCCTGAAAAGACAAAAGTGTTATGATCCAGGAGGTGGGCAGACAGCATGTCCTGAGTGATGTTACAATCCCCTGGGAGGAATAGGTCTACTAGGCAACCTAAGGCCCGGGCCCAATCGCCTTCTCAATGTGGCCCATGGACGGTCCGGGAATCGGCGTGTTTTTACATGAGTAGAATATGCCCTTTTATTTAAAATGCATCGCTGGGTTATTTGTGGGGCATAGGAATTCGTTCATTCCACCACCCAAAAAAACACACCATATAGTCTGGCCCACCACATGGTCTAAGGGACGGTGGACCGGCCCATGGCTGAAAAAGGTTGCTGACCCCTGGTCTACAGCTCGATTCAACACTCCTGGATTCAACACTCATTTGGAAGCTCAAGTGCCCTAGGTAGTTTCCAAGTTCCATTTTCTAGCTCTAGTTGGTTCTCCAGCTACCTTTTGGATACAAATAACTTGATCATAAAAACTTCCAGATTGGATTACTGCAATGTGCTATATGTAGGGCTGCCCTTGAAGATGAATTGGAAACTTCAGTTGGGCCAAGTGCAGTGGTGAGATTACTGGCTGGAGTTCCACTGAGATCACATATAACCTTTGTTGCAGAACAGCTGCATTGGTTGCCAGTTGGTTTCTGGTGCTCATGTTAGTGCAAAAAGCCCAAAATGACTCAGACCTGGGGAAAGTCCTAAACACCAGAGGCATTTGATCCTTGGGTGTGTGGTTCGCCATCCATGCTTGACTGTAACATTTCCAATAGGGAATACCTTAAAATTAATCTAGTATCAATTTGCTCTTAACTTCTTTTTTACATTTATATAGTTGGTTTCTTAAAGAAAACTTACCTTGAAAGTTGGAACAGCCCATCTCTCCAAAAAAAAGACCCATGCTTCAATTCTATGTTCATCCGGCAGTAAGCCCCATTCAACTCAATGGGACTTACTTATGACTAGATAAGCACAGGCCTTTTCCATCACTTAGAGGTAAAGGGACCCCTGACTGTCCAGTTGTGGACGACTCTGGGGTTGCAGCGCTCATCTTGCTTTATTGGCTGAGGGAGCCGGCGTACAGCTTCCGGGACATGTGGCCAGCATGACGTAGGCTGCTTCTGGCAAACCAGAGCAGCGCATGGAAACGCCGTTTACCTTCCTGCCGGAGGGGTACCTATCTACTTGCATTTTGTGCTTTTGAACTGCTAGGTTGGCAGGAGCAGGGACCAAGCAACGGGAGCTCACCCCGTTGCAGGGATTCGAACCGCCGACCTGATCGGCAGGCCCTAGGCTCTGTGGTTTAACCCACAGCGCCACCTGAAGTCACTTAAACCCTAGCTAAAAATATTCTGCTCTTTCGAAACAGAAAAAACAGAGATGGCTTGTATCACCAAGCATAGGCATCAACTGTGATTACAGTTTTTCCTTGACCTTAACTTTTCAGTCCTATAGTGACTTACCTTGCAATAAGTGCCATTGAGTATAAGATGTATAAGATTGTACAGTTAATTGTTCAAGCCACCAGAGAACACACATGCTGTGTATATCAATCCATTGTTGCCACAGTTGGGAAGAACATAGAAGTAGCCTTTGGTGCCCATGAGTCGGCAAGTGACTCACAAGAGCTGCAGGGACACTATCAGAACTGCCAGCAAATGAAAGCAGCTCTACTTGTAAATCCTGATTGAGACTAACAAATGGAGACATCACATTGCACCACACACTCCACACCCAAACTCCTGACATGCCTAACAACTTGCTTTTTGATTCCCCTTTTATCCTCCCTCCCCTTTCTCCATAAGTAAACACTTACACAAAAATCAACGGGAGGTTAAAAACTAGA